AACCCGCTCTATACGCCGTAATGCACACAAAAGCCAAGAGAACCGGTCCCATGAGGAGCTCATTTGTTGTGAACAAGTAGAGTGCGGAGCGAATCCCAATGGTCTGAGTCGCCGTAACTGTGGTTGAGATGAAGGTTAGCATTGGGAAAAGCAACTCCAAACTTACGCAGAACCGAAAGTGAGGCAGAATCATAAATAGTGGGAGGTGGAAGCAAAACATACATATACACCATGCTACTCCGCAGACTCGACGCTAGCGTCTCCGGGTGCCAGCGGAAAATGTACATAACCATTGCCCAGGTCATACCGGCGAAAACGGGGTAAGCATTGTTCGTGATCTTCGTGCGTGAATCGGATGTGATGAGGGAGGAGAGGGGGTGCATATTAGGTTGGACGGCGAGCTTGGCGAGAGCAAGCATGACACGCGCGAAGACATAAATAACGATCTAGATTCGAGTTAGCTCTGCAGAAAAAGCGGGGCGTACTCGGGAGTCGAAGTTTGAATTCTTTCCACAAACAGGGAAAGGCTCAAAACACATACCTGCTGGCTAATACTGCCCGGCTGTCGTCCGAAAACTGCATACCCGCCCAGCAGGCCTGCAAAGAAACTATCATATCGTCCCTCCTTCCCGGCGCCACCTGGTATATTCCGGAGAACGATCATCGAGGCTTTGTAGATGATGGCGAATGTGGACAGGTTCCGCGCGTGCTGGCGGGTTGCTTTCAAAACAAGCTTCGTCTTTTCGCGTATTCTAGATAACCAAGCGATCAGTTTCGGTCTGCGGAGAGGTAAGGGCGCGCGTGTGTGGTGACATACGTTCCAGATCTGAACAAAAATATCATTCTAGAAACAGTCGGTATCAGTCAGCTATGTCTTGTAGTGGGGTTTCCGACTGTCCGAGGTCCAACATACACCAGCGCATGCGGAAAACGGACTTTCGATCCGTAGACGATTCCATTGCGTGCACCCTTCACTAATGACAGTAGCGGCGCGAGTTCGGGCTTGAGCACGAGCGCGTCGAGTTGGGACTGTGGGGAGAAGTGTCAATACTGTCATATATGGTCGGAGGCGTGGCGGAACTTACGAGTAGTGTATCCATGGCGTCTCTGGGCCTCGGTAAGAGGTCGGCCTCGTTTCGGGGTGGCTATAGGGGCGATGGACAACGAAAAGAGACCAGGAGACCGTTACGGATCATGAGGAGGAAATAGAGTAAAAATAATAGTTTCCTGGGGCAGGAGATGCTGGGGGAGAGGGGACGGCACTTTAATCGGTTCTCGCCTCGAGAAGGGCCTCGGCATGTGAGAATGCAGCCGACGTCATGGTCACGTGGTTGTATATAAGACCTTGGCTACGAGCATACGGGCGAATCTTGTTCAGTCTAGTGTGAAGTAATGGATGGAGGAAATGTCTCTATTAGATGTAGAGGTTTTTAAAATAACTTTTCATATGCCGTAAGACTGTTCATACAGGCGCAGAAAACGAAATCCCGTCCGGCCCAAACTCCTTAGCAAAAGAAATCATGCAAATCGATCGATCTTAGTTTTTCCGTGCCTTCTTGTGGCTCTCCTCCACCTCCTCATCAGAAGAAACCTCATCCACCTCCATCATCTCCGCAGATGGCTCGTCCTCTTCGTCGGAGGATTCCATACCCGCCCGACGCTTGAGACCCTTCATCTTACGGGTCTGCAAGTCAGACAGATCCTGCTTGCCGAGGTGAACACGACCAATCTTATCACCCATAGAGTCCATAATGACGTTCTTCTTGGTGCGGGCTTCCTCGTTGGGACGCTTGCCCTGCTTCATGGACTCCTTCTGCACCTCAGGAGCTGCCTGGCGTGTGCGACCGACCTTGAAGTCGAACTTGGGACCAACCTCCTGTAACTCCACGCGGGGTAGCTTGTGACCGCTACGCTTGGTGATGACTCTGTACCAGCGCATGTGGATGACCGGTGAGAGGCCATCTTGGGGCTCCTCAGCACCAACCATCATCACGTACTGCAGACCCTCAACATCGACCTGGGTCGTCTCTTCGCCCTTGAACATGTCGAGAAGAGTGCTCTTGAGGATGGTGTGCGCAGTAGATGTAGGATCGTCCCAGGGGGAACCAGAGAACAGCATCATAGGGCGCAAGCCAAGACCGACGTCCATGACAAGTTCGTTGATGGGCGGGATGATCTCGCCGTCTCTCGGGGGAAGCAGCATTAGCTCGACAAGATCGAGCAACTCTGAGTTGTAAACCCGAGCCAATGAAACGCAGTTGGGTCGCTTCTTGTTGTGGCTTCCGAATGCTACGAGTCCACACTCGTTCTTGTTCGCCAGGAATTCCAGGCTCTCCGAGTTCTCATATGGGTGCAAGTTCTCATTCTTCTTGTGGAAAAGAATGTTGTGAGGCTTCGTCAAAGCATGGAAGGTCTTCAACACGGTGTCCAGGGTTTGGGGGCATTTTGCGCCGTGGAAAATCAGGGTCTTCTTGGGGGGTTCGATGAGTTGCGGCTCCCGCGCTTTCAGGATACGCGCAGTGCGCGGGTTCTTGGCTTTTCTGTAGGGTAGAGTATTAGCCTGAGATAAAGACCTCGATAAATTGCCATAACTTACACTTCTCTCAACATTTTGTTGTGAATGATCGGCAGGATGGCTTGGGGTAAAAATATCGAATGAACGGAAAAGTTTTGGGTTGCTGATGGCTTGGCACCCTTATCGATAAGCAAGGTACGGAGTTGGTCACGTGCGTTGAATATCAAATCTTGTCTGATTGGCCAGTTCATACTACATCCAGTTGCATTCTACCACTAACACATAGTTACATATCTGTCTCATAGTTAGCTGTCTGAAGTAAATGTCATTCCTTCGCAGCTCAACCAAGCATCTATGGCGTCTATGTCGAGCAAAACTATTCTCTCTTCTGAAAATATATTCTCATACATATCATCTACCTTGTCTTCGGCGTAGTATTCTTTCAGACACAATTCATTACCTTATTTCCGACAGAACAAAAGAACGAAATTGGGATTGAAAACATTGGGTATTTCTAGCAGACGCAAACCAACGGTGTGCATCCTGTGAAGGTACCCGAAACTCCATGATCTTGCGACCTGTCCCATGGCGTGGCCATTGTCCCTTGGGCCGAACCAGAAATTCCTTGACGCAAAAGTGTACCAACTGCAAGCAACCTTTCACGATTGTTACAAGATCACCGCAAAAGATCTAAGATCCTTCGATCTAGTTGCGGGATGGGACAGTCTTCAATGGATTTCCCTTCACCTACGGAAGTTGACAAGGCGTCGACAGCCAGTAAATGCTGAACTTCAGCTATACTCAATGGTCTCTGTGAGACTACGATGAACGCAAATAACCTTCGAGCAAGGTTCACCTCGTCTTCTTTGAGGTTCTCGCAAAGTACCAGAAGCATTCTTTCGTACATGGATTAAAGGCCACGAGGCAATCTATTCAGTCTCTAAAAACCATAAGCCAATGGAAGCGACTTTTCTAGATGCCCAAACATAAGTTTAACCCATAGAAAATTCCAATCTGACTGGTGTTGAAGGGATTTGAAAACATTGTCGCGCAATTCTGGTGTGTTGAGGACCGCAAACCGGTTGATTTCCGTTTCAATGACTCCATCAACATCATCTTTCGTTAAGGTTGGGTGTATCTCAATTTTATGGTGGATAGAATCGGTTTCGAGAGATAAAGGTTGACCACCAAGCAAAATGAAGCAGAAGTCGAGGCGAGCGTCAAAGAAACTAAGGAGTCTTTGAACCAATTCGGTGATTGGATCCATACCTTCATTAACACTGTCGATAATGCAGTACACTGGTTCCGAGACAAATGTGGTTATCTCGCTGAGCCCCTTCCGTAAGTCTGAGGTCGTAGGTTGATCTCTTAGCATCCAGGTGGACAGAAGAGAGGTATTCTGCTACTGGAGGACAAACTATCACCAATTGCCATAGAAGCGAACGAATTAGGCCACTTGACTTTTGCTGACTAACATGCATGCTGGAGAATGCGAAGAATAACACAGGCACTTCGTCATTCCACATTTGATCCACAATGGCAGATGCTAGAATATTTTTCCCACTGAAGCACGATGCAAGCGCGAAGATGGGAAGGCTCCGGGGCGTAATGGCCCCCTCCATAGGTCCGAACTTGATCCTGAAATTATCAGATAGGAGCGCCCATCTAGTATTACCATCCCATGGCCATCGATTAATTCGCCAACTGATCAACCTATGGAGAAGTATGCAGGACTATGTCTAGATCTACGGTGTTGAGGATGAGAAATTTAAGGCCGTTTTTCAGACGGTTGTCTATTTGACACCACTTTCCAGAATTGCTTTCGAAAATGTATATCAATGAAATACCTCCAGCGAGGTTTGATCCTGTCATATAAAATACATGATCTATTTTGGGAGGAGAATGCCGAAGGCCACATTAGCGCTTCAGGGCTGTGCAGGGTGTGCGGGTAAAGTGATAGACAGGTGAGATTGGGTAAAGGGAGTGTATATCTGAAGGGCAGCAAGATTCTCCTCAAAGAATCAGCCAATAAAACACAACAGTGATAATGCGCTGGTTCCCAACTACTAACTCACTGGCGTTTGGTTTATGTGTGAATAGTAGTAGTCGGGTGGGTGTCACCCGGGTGAGCGCCTTCAAAGAACATAGGGGGCCCAAGACACGCTATAAAACACCCTAGTGATGCGATTGGCTTCGAACGAATATATATTGTATAAAAATAGGCAGAGGGGTGGTGAGTGCGAAGTACTGCCCAGAATTGGCGCCAAGGGGCCAAGGGGGCCGAGGGGGCAAGCGGGCTAAGGGGGCGATATGGGCAGCACTAGTGCTGCCCATGTGGAGAGTTTCATTCTCTTATAGCTGTCTTCACATTCTTGTTTTCCCATTAGTGCAAAAGGAACATCTCATATTGTGCCCTGGTCAAAGTCCACCATCAACTTAGAGGGGTGTCGTTTACTCCCTCCTCGCCTACTCGTACTTAGCAAAAATGAGCCACACGGCTGCAACACGAGAGAACCTTTGGACTTTGGCATTTCATTCTTTACCATCTGAAACCAAGGAAGACCTCGAGAAATATCTAAACGAGAAGGCTATTGAGACCGTCGACACAACCCTCAGGGCTGTCCGAGACAAACAAATAGTCTGTTTGCAAAAGCGTTGGACCATCAAGACTAAGGCCGGAAAAAGACTCATTGTTCGTGATATTCTCGACAAGGTCGCATTCTGGCTCAACAGATTTAAGGAGGTTGGTGACATTGCTGTTCAGTATGACCCCACTCATGCTTCACTGCCGTGGGCTGGCGTACGGGTTTTGCTCCAAGCTTCCATCAACGATCTACAAACATTCATCTCGGTTGCGCAAGGGCTAGAAACTTTGGCACGCATCACCACTCGATACTCTATCCTAGAGAACATTTATCTACCCTCGACTGGACAAGCGCTTTCTTCGGCACAGTCAAAACTCTGTGATGCTTTAGTAGCGCTTTACTCAGAGTCTTTAAAGTACCTCGATGACATTGGAAAATATTACGAGAGATCGACAACCAAGCGTATTGCTCGAAGCTTTTTTGACCCCTCGGACTCTGTAGAAACCTTTCTGAAAGGCATTTCTACGAAGGAGGCGGAGGTGGAAAAGATCGCCCAAACCGTTCAAACAGAGATATTGAAAGAGAAATCTGATCAATTGGGACGATCTCTTAAAGTATTTCAAGATGAAGGACGCTCATCTGTTGAATCTTTGAAGAATCTTTTCCACTCACTTGAAGCACCACTGATTCGCCTCAGTGACCCGCTTGTGCAGTTTCAAGAGTCATTGGATCTGCAAGAGCGGCGCAAGTTTCTCATGTGGCTTTCAAATGAAAACTATACACTACAACACGAGTCTACATACAAGGAAGTTGTTCCGGGCACCGCACATTGGATCTTATCTAACAAGCATTATCAATCGTGGCAAGAATCAAGCGCGTGTTCAACGCTTTGGGTCCACGGGATTCCAGGTTGTGGGAAGACTCAACTTGCCTCCGTCATTATTCAGCAACACTTGGATTCCATACTGCAAAATACTTGCAGTGCGCCTGTTGCCTACATCTACTGCTCGAATACGAAAACCAGCTTGTCCTCTCTTTCCTCCGCTGCAATCCTTCGAAATGTCGTCAAGCAGCTCGCAGTCACCCAGCAGGGACAGAAAGTGCGACAAGAAATATGGGATGAGTTCAAGAAGAGACAGAAAGCTGCAGATATAGATGGGCTTGATCCATTACCTCTCACAGTAGATGAATGTATCCAAATGTTGCTTGAACTGACTCTCGACTGCCCGGCAACTATCATCATCGATGGTCTTGACGAGTTAGTTGGAAATCAACTGGATATTCTGACAAGTCTTCGAACCCTAGCAAGTGAATCATCCAGTCTTATCAAGATCATGATCTCCAGTCGCGAAGATACGCATATCGCACAAGAACTGCACGACGCGATTTCACTCCCTGTCACTGTTTGCCAGAACTCAGAAGATATCAAGGTCTTCGTCCGGCATTCGGTCAGCTCAGCGATCACCAATCGAAAGCTCCTAGGAGGAAGCGTCTCAAAATCCCTCAGTGACCATCTGGTTGAAAGTCTGTATCAAGGGGCAAGGGGGATGTTTCTTTGGCCTGCAATGCAACTGCAATATCTTTGCGATCGCGGAAAGTTCAAACTTGAGGAAGATATCATCGAGGCATTAAAAACTCTCCCACCTAGTCTGATTAGCACATTTGACAATCTCTATGCACGGATCAATCTCTTCGAGCACCATGCCAAGACGATGGTGATGCGCATCTTCGCTTGGCTCATAGCAAAAGAGAGAGACCTTTCTGCCTCAGAGCTGTTAACAGCTATATCTTCCAACGGAAAAGTTGATGATTCAGTATCTGTTCGTCAACATTCATCATTCGATTTTAAGGCGTAGGGGTTAACATGTCACATTTAGGGCACCATCGATGCTCAGCTCGTACTTGACTTATGCTGCAATTTCGTCATTTTCGACCACAATTTGAAACGATTTTCCTTCATCCATGCATCTGTCCTTGAATATCTCCAAGCTCTTCCGGAATACTCTGTTTCGAATACCAACTCCATCGCGGCTAAGCGGTGTATTGATTAGATACCGACGTTTCGACAGACACCTCAAGCACTGAGGATGAAACCGACAGCCTTGAAAGCCCCGAGAGCTTCCGAGATTATGCCATTTCCTATTGGGCTTATCATTACTTGAAAGTTGTTGAAATACACCCCAAAGCCGATTTGGACAATGCTCTGAAACAATTTTTGTCACCGGAAGAGTCAATGAATTTCCGCTTTTGGCTCGACGACGTGAAGGATCAAATAGCGGCCAATAAGCCAAACCCGACCCAACTCAAGGAGCTCAATGCGATGCTAAATAACCAATACTCACCCTTGTTCATGGCCTGTGTATACGGTCTACCGTTCATTCTAGAGTCCATTGAAGCTGAGGCATTACGGGCCGGGAAATCTATGGACTTTAACATGAAGAATAGCCATGGAGCATCTGCTCTGTACGTGGGTGCCAGGTATGGACGTCTCGAAGCTGTGCGGTTTCTCCTCGGCCGCGGCGCGAATCCAGATGCCCCCGGTGGCTTCTTTGGCAATCCACTCCAAGCAGCCGCATTCCAGGGGCATCAGGACATTGTCAGTCTCCTTATCCAGAGAAAGGCGGATCTGTTTGCGCCGGGCAAATTTTCCAGCGCACTTGATGCTGCTTTGGCAGGTAGTTCTGGGCCTGTAATTATGTTCCTGTTGGAAGCTTCCAAAACTACAGATGGGTCCAAGCTTGAGGATATATTGGCGCGAGCCTCATACGATGGTCACGATGAGGTGGTCTCCTATCTGCTAAGGGAAATCAGTCAAAATGAAGGGAATGACGGGAGCGATGGTAAGTTAGTTATTGACTATGAAACTGAAGTCAGTGGCAGAAGAGTAACGCAACATATCTTTACTAGCAGATTCATCACTTCACGTTGCCTTACAGGCGGCTCTCGTCCAAGGCCACGCCAGAATCGCAAAGAGAATGCTCGACAGTGTTGCCGACATCAACTTGGGAATTGGTCATTTTGGTACTGCCCTTCAGGCGGCAGCATTCGGCGGCCATCTCTCCATGGTAAATCTGGCTCTGAAACGTGGAGCAGATGTTAATACTCGGGGTCGTTACGGAACGGCTCTTCGGGCTGCTGCTCTTCGGGGACATAGTAATATTGTGCGGCTACTTATTGAAAAGGGGGCCAATATCGAGGGCAAAGATGCCGACGCAATGCAAGCGGCTGCTTTCAATGGACATCTATCAACGGTTGGCATTCTGATCGACAGCCAATTGTATGATTGCGACAACTCTTCCAGCATTCCGGCCGTAGAATCGGCTTCGTTCCGCGGCCACCTAGAGGTTACACGACTTTTGCTCCAGACATTTGGTAAGAAGGCTGCATATTACGCCTTTTCTGCGGGACTTAATGGAGGCCGAGAAAACGTTATGCAGCTTGCTCTGCAGTGGAATCCAGAAATAAAGGCTTCCGATCTTCCTGATGGCAGTGAAGGGTACTGCAGTATGGGAGGTGGCCTTTCTCTACTCCCATCGGGAGATAGAAACTACTATGACTACATCTATGGCGGCAGTGAGGATGATAGGGGCAGGGGAGACAATGCAATGAGTGACGATAGTGAGAAAAAAATAGCCGCGAACGAGAGCGCTATCAATGTGTCACAAAAGCCCAACGCGAGCTCGCCGTGGCTGGCTGTAGAGGAAGAGCATGGCCTGGGTAGGACGGTTGAGACAGATTATGAGATCGGTCATGGCAATGGCAGGTTCCTCCGAATTGCGGCTCGAAAAGGCCTTGTGCATACCGTCAATGTCCTCATTGATCAAGGTTTTGATATCAACACCACGGGGAATTATTCTGGTCCTTCCTCTGGTCAATCTACCCCGATCGAAGTGGCAGCTGAAGCAGGACAGTTCGAAGTAGTTGTTATCCTCTTGAAAAGGGGTGCTGAAGTCGGTCAGGCATTATCATATGCCACACGCAACGAAGACATGCAAATGATTCGGCTGATACTTAATGAGCGGCCTGAGACTCCCCTTGACTGGCCTCAAAGTCTAGACCAGCGGGGAAACTATGAGCGAACAGTCACTCCGATTGTTGTGGCAGTCGCTTGGAAGCGACCTCGATCTCTTGAAATGCTACTAGCTCATGCTAAACGCTACTCTCAGCCTATAATTGGGTACGGTCTGATAATGGCAGCGCGAAAAGGAAACGTGAGCTACATGCGGTCAGTTCTCAGTGACTTCCAGTTGAAAGAATCGGGTGACGTGACTTCCTTGGCTCGTCAGCAGTATGACACTTTTGTCATGGTGTCACAAATTGCAGCCATGAGAAACAGTACAAGGACGATGCAGCTTCTCTTATGTTATGTCACTTCAGAGACCATCCAAGAGAAACTACTTGAATGTTTTGTGCAAGTTGGTATCTCAAATACCCACTGGTACGCTGTTCTTGAAAATGTTCGGCATATCTTCAATCCATCATTTTATGACTACCTCGCAGGAAAGGCACTGGTTTCCATCGCTTCAATGAAAGAGCTTTTACCTAAAGGCAAGAATTCTAAAGATCTCGCCGCATTGGAGGAAGAGTTTGAACTTCTCTTTGGAAGTTCGTCAGTTTTCGTCTCAGCATTACCAGACGCTCTTCGAGAGGCCACCAAGAACAATAACCTGGTTCTTATAAAACGTATTTTGGACTGGCACCGTTTGACATGTGCCATGTCAGCAAGGAATATTGCAACCCTGATCAATGAAGCAGATGCAGATGGGAAGACACTGCTGTACTTCGCATGTACTACCGGACGCCCAGATATCTTTTTCGCCTTTTTGGATGTTGGAGCAGGCACATACGGCCTATATGACTCATTCCCGTTGAAACGTGTGGACCAAATTAAAATACCGGCAACCAAAAGCGGTAAGGCAAATCTATTGCAGATTGCTTTGGATGCATATCAAGCATCAGAAGACACACGAGAATGGTATCATTGGGGAAGAACTCTGTGGGAAAGGCCACTTGAAGTATCATGTGGACCGATTGTCTGCCATCTGCTTGACGTGGGGTTGGAGATTGACTTGGCATACCCGGGTTTGATCAAATTCTTCTACGTTGCTTGTCGTCAGGGTGCACTTGTGTACGTCAAAAAGCTCTTGGAGAAAGGTGTCAGTCAAACTGCTCGGTCGGACAGATTACGTGTACGTGATACGTGGTTCGAATCTGCTCTTCATGTTGCTGCCATCGGAGGCCAAATGGCTGTTGTGGAGTATCTCCTGAGTCACGGGGCTGATGTACGTGCCAGATCAAACCTTGGCAATGATTCCGGAACGTACAGCCAGACTGCCATCGAAGCTGCTCTAGAGCGGCATTCTCTGTCTGGGTCAAGAAAGGCTATTCATCAAGTCTGTGCATACCTTGTTTCCTCGGGTGCATCTGAGAGTGATGCTGAGCTTTTGCTGGTAAAAGCCTGTCAAGAAGATAACTTGCCTTCTGTCAAACGTATGCTGCGACGTGGAACGAAAATAACAGACGCATCTGCCATCAAGTCAGAAAAACTTTATCGCGCTTTTGTCGAAGTCGGTTTCAACTTCCATGATCATCCTGCTACCATTGGCCGTCTCACAGAGAATGCAATGGAACAGGGAAATTCGGGGTATTTTCAGGAACTCGTGGATATTTATGGTCTCCAACTTGACTCTCGTGACCTTTTCAGGGCCATAATGGCAACTTTAAAGCGGAAAGAAAACCGAGCCTTGTTCCTGAGAATTCTGATAGAGCAATACTCTCTTGATATTAATCAGGTCTATGAATTCCCTTGGAGAAGAACTCTCGAGACTACCACAATCCTTAACAAAGCAGCTTGTGACTTCAAAGACGTTGATGATGTGGGCTTCGTACTCCAACTAAGTGCAAACCCCGATAGTCCAGGCCTTCGCTATACTCCTCTCACGACAATTCTTGTCCGGGATGCAATATCGACAAGCGGGCGTAGACCTGGGGACACACTTCTCATCATCAAAGCACTTTTAGACCACGGGGCAGATCCGAACGGGCTACGACCAATTGACCTGCTGCCTACGGGTCAAGTGAAATATCGAACCTTCAGGACCCCGTTGCTACTTGCTATCATCATGAATAAGCCTGAAACTGCTCAGATTGTGAAGACTCTCCTAGACCACGGCGCTGATGTTAACATGGGCCGTATCTCACCTTTGCGTCTTTCCCAGTTTTTCGGCCAGAAAGATGTTGAGAATTTGCTTCGTGAGCATGGCGCTAGGGATAACAGTGACGCTGATTGCCCAATATCAGACTTTGTGAAGGTCCTCAGTTGGAAGGACACTTACGGGGATAGAGCTGTGGATGGGCTTCTTCGGGATGATTAATCTGTTGACTCATTGACCGACGGGGTTGGGGTTGCTCAACCAAAATTTGAGCATTACAGATCTCTTTATCACCACGCCCCAGTGCTTTTTTCTAGCCCTGCCAGAGCCTTCATCAAGAGATTCAAGGCATATGCATATTGGTTAAGACTTCCATAGACGACTCCAATCCATACAAGTGTCCGCATGGTACGTTCATGTTCAAACGCGAGTACTTTCTTAAGCCTGCTAGGGCATTTGTGAGGAACCCCAAAGCATTCTTCCGTGAAATGCATGGAAATTAGGTGAGAGATTACAAGGTGTCAGATAGATAATAGAGATCCAAAATTTTGGACATGCCAATTAGATAGATCTACATGCTGCTGACTGCATCGCTAGCGCTGTTTTACTTGGATAATGTTACACACTGCCCGGGAATCCATTTAGTGATTTTGAGATTGTCAGTCAACTAGAAGCTTCATCACAACCTTTGCACTTGTTCGATTTGCTGGGGACTCAACCATCTCGCCGACCTAGTGGAAACTTCCTCACAGCCTATTCACTTTGCTCATTTGCTGCGGTGCCCTCAAACACCTTGCCGGTGATTTTGAGGCGAGGCTGCACAATCTGTAATCAAAAAAAAAACAAAACAAAACAAAACAAAACAAAAGCAAAAGCAAAAGCAAAAGCAAAAGAACATACAACAGCATGTCTAAGGTGGTGGCCACCTAGCGCCCACCGTTCGGGCACAGGCGGCTCGCCGCTCTATTCAGGGTACTTAGGGCGGATATTCAGCCCGTACAGCAAAAGGTACGTTTCCTATCATGACTAAATAAAAGTTATAAGTATCCTTCTTTTCCCCTCCGTTTTCATTACTCTAACCTCGCTTTATCACGAGTAAGATACGTACTAAACATAACCTAACGTTAAAATATATAGCTAATACTATAGATTTCGGGGATTATAGTCACAATGAAATCTAACGGGTAGTAAGTATTACTACGAATAGAGTCTAGTTATAGTTATAAGCTACTTTTTTGAATGAAATGCACTCTTTCTTTGAAAGAACCGGCTGGTGATAGCGCAGACCTCTTAATTGCAGCTAGAAACCAATGATTTCCATGCAAAATATTTAGCCGTACGTCATCTGGGAAGTTTAAAAGTGCAATGCGCCGTTTAGGAGGATCTCGATTTCATTCTAGGTAGCCAGAGCTTGCTAGAGAACGTCATTGTTTATTGAGATCTTCACATAATTCTCAGGGTTTAGGCGAGAATGTTGATGTGTTTGTTCTAAATATCAACTATTCCTGAATCGTCATTTTTCACTTGATTTCCATTCTATTATGTGCTACACTATGATGTGGATTAACAATATGTATACAATATTGTCGGTATTTTATATTCGTTACGTGATACGAAGGAGGTTAGAGCCAGCTCGAAGTAAAAATGGGTTGTTGTATTCGTTTCAAACCCTGCTCTCGATAAGTATAAAGAGAGACCGCATATCATTTATAAAAAAGAAAATCTTGTTCCAATCTGTAACAAGGTTTATTAGCACTTCCAGACAAGCCCATTGCGTCAAAAAAAGAAAAATGGCACAAACATGAGGAATCTCGTCGTAAAAATATATAGGTATGTATATTTTTGGTAAATGGTAGATCTAGAATTTAGCACATACAGAACACACTGTGAACTTACCTTCTACTGTCAAGCATCACGGGCAGCGCCGTCAGCATTGCGCTCAGCAGGTTGCGGCCGCGGGAGCTCCGGTGGTGGAGGAAGGGAACTGCGATTTCTATAAGTATCCGGCTTCACAGAGTTCAATGTAAGTATGAGGTATACCGGTCGGTCAGTTGCTGGCACAAATAGTCAAGGCGCCATGTCGTCAACAGGGCCAGATAGAGATAAAAAATCCCCCCAGACGCGAGGACTTCGTGAGGGGCGAAGGCACCCCACAGGCGCTCAACCAACGCCTCCAGAAGGGCAAGGTAATTGGTGGGCGGGGGAGACTCGCTAGCGGGCGCAGCATCCACGAGAGACATCTTAGATAGACTAGGCCACGTTAGCAAAAAAAAAAAAAAACCTTTAAAAGGACTGCTGGAAGAGTGCTGGTGAGACCTACGATGGCAAAGGTTGGGATCTGATGTTGATTGCGAAGTTTACAGAATCGAAAAGTCTACGCTTCAGCAGGTGGGAAGGTAGCAAGATACACGTGGACGTGAACTACAATGGCAGGCACGAATGTTCCTAAATAGGAAGGAATAGTACAGAGGTTAAACTTTGGGAACGACTGCCAGTTTAGGTAAGGGGATTCAAAGACAAAAGCAAGAGTTACATTGCACAAGAAACTCTGGAAATCTAGCAGGCACCTAGTAGCCTGACGCTCCAACTTCCTCCTTCTCCTCTTCGTCAATAAGAATAAACGCTTCATCGACTTGTTCAGTCTTGCCTTTTGCCATCTGTTCTTCTAAAACAATCTTCTCACATCCTGGGGGCATTGCAATCATATCAAAAGGGCTGTCGTGACTATCAAGAGATAATCCCCATATTGAAACCCGATTGATCCTCAGGCGGTAAAGGCTACCGTCATTCACGGTATGAAAATCCGTACGGAATTTCATCTTTTCTTTTTTAGTAAGCTCAAACCCCCGAGCTAGGTGGCAACATCCACATACCACCGTACAATGTCCAGCTCCAAGCTGTCGTGTCTTGTCAATCTTACGATCAACGCAACATCCGCAGGTACGGCTACAGCACCCTCCCCTCCTCATGCAATCCTCGACCAAAACTCCGTGCATATACCACAGAGGATGTGTTCGCCATAGGTCAAATGCTCGTATTAGCGGTCCCTCCACGAATGAGTTTCGGACTTTCCACCACTGTCGTTCCAGCAACCAATATCTCTTGTTTAAAGCCTGAAGCTCAGCCTGTATATCATTCCTATAGATTGGCCAGCTGCACCTCGTCTCGGGCTTCTTGGCGAGGAGTTGCTCTTCCTGGACAGTACTTCGAAGGTCTTCTTCTATCCGGAGAAGCTCAAACGCTCGATCAGAGTAGCGATACTGTGTTTTATGAACCACGTTCCACCGATACCGTTGAAGAGCATCAATATCTCCACTCTGTTCGAGCTTGATTTCATCTTGGGTTTTCTCTCTAGGTAGGATTAAATCAATTTTTGATTGAGTCGACTTGTCCGCAGGTTGCATGTTGAGGCCAGTTTATATTCGTATCGGGTATAGAGAATAGAGCCGTATCTAGTGAGAAGTAACCTAGTTTAGGAGATGAGGGAAGGCCGTCGTTAGAATTGAGGTCTACCTGGTGAACGACTCATCCTGATGTCAGATATTCTTCCGTGCTCTCCATAGGACCAGCAGATTAACAACAGAAGAAACAACTTCTGTGCAAATCTGATATATAAAATTACATTACAACGCCTTAGGCTACAGTCTTCTAAATAGTTGCAAGTTATTTATAACTCCTCGCTCCATCCATTGATATCAATTTTATATTGGTAGACGATATAGTGCTGCCGGGAGGCCATTTGCTGCTAGGAGAGAATCACTTTAATAGGTAAATTTTTTTATTTTTAAAAAATTTGTTAGTTACTTGGAAAGTATACTTTTATTTAACACAATTTTAGTTTGAATATTAGTTTTATATACTATTTCTTTATTAGTATTAGATATAATTAATCATAGTAGGTAATAATAATCTCTTTTGGCAACACGATTCCCAACATGAAACGATGTGTCAAATGAACGTTTAAAAGTAGGAATATGGACAGATGTAAATGTATAGAAAGAGTAACTGTAAGGAAATGGTATACAAATCAAATTCAATTTGAAGAATCCAATAAGATATCAGCTTCTTTCACAGGAAGCAATATCGAATTAAAGAGAGATGCGAGCAGGAATATCTACAATCTATGTCGATTATGTCGAGCTAAATCGAAAATAGACGCACAGTCTAAGTGTGAAGAAATTACACGGCAGTGTCAAGTCAACTACAAAGCAATCGTTCCAACATCCGCTAGGAGTGTGGTGGCAATGTAGGTAGCCACCTATAAAGACCTGAAGGAAGAGCTAGAGTGCATGCTGATAGCGCCGCTGCTAGATGTGGTCGACCAGGCCAGGCCGTCGAGGAAGCAGAGCCAGAGCCATCGGTACCAGTAGTGTTCCAGTATTTGCAGCCTCCTTCATCTATGCAGAGCATGTGCTAGTGGCCTTAGTCACGGTCTTGAAGATTATAAACCCGCCGAAGCTACAAGTATCGGCAGCGCGGTTCTGCTCAACGTAGTACTAGGTCAGAGTAAAGGCAAGTTGCTGCTTGGCCGAGCATATTCTGTAAGCACATCGTAATCCCCGGTGGTGGCATTGGCTGTCAGTCCGCCGTAGTCAGTGTAGCCGTAGATAGTGCTGAATAGCTTGACCTGCTTCTTCGAGGAGAGTGAATCGGTGACAACGTAGGTGGAAGTATCGTATATACAGTCGTATAGCTAGACGTTGGCAATAAAGGGGCAGAGTGGAGAGCTCGGCGGACCACAAGGACCAGACAGTAGGGCAGCTTGGTAGGGCAGTGTTAGTGGGAGTGTAGGAGGAATTCTTAAAACTAGTGGAATTGGCGCTAGCTATCTGCCTAGAATAGTACTTGAGGTCGGCCATAGTGCTAAGTCGGGTGCTATCGACGACAGAAACCAGACCTATAAGTCTTATCAGTTATCTTCATATATATATAAAGGGAATGGATTCCCTTGCCGTAGTTGTCGGCCTCCTCGAAGTATATATAGATCTTGCAACTACAAATCTAACAGCTGGAAGATCTCTATGGTAATGGAGAGAGAGATAGAGAGAAAGAAGCAAGCTTGATTGCTAGATCTATGGGAAGAATAGGGTATTCATACCCTGGGAATCTGGCAAACCACGCTGTCAAAGTAACAAAGGGAGACATCAAACAGACAGCAGACAGATAAACCAAGCAACAGACAAAGTGCTCGGTCTGCAAACATCTAGCAGCTTCTAGGAAGATCTAATACAGGCAATATAACAACGGGCCTATCAAACGTACCCATGCGGGGCGAGACACCTCATAGGACAGATTTGATAGATACATAGACAGCTCTCTCTCCCCCTCCTTTTCCTCTTTCTGTCCATCCCTGCCCAAATCAAACAAAGGAGACAAAACAAGTAGAACAAACAAGCAAAGAAGTAAACAAACATGATGCATGTGATCATGCATGTGATCGAGAAGATCGTAACAGATTTGATCTAATACGATTGATACAATCCAGGCAGTTAAAATAATCTTAATAAAGCTTCCAGTCGTAATCCTGAGGTAGGGATAGTTGCTAACGATAATCATCCGTTGGCTGTGGACCTGGATCTTAAAATCATCGAGCATCTTCTCAAGAACAATTTAGTACGGGTTGCCCTATACACTGCCACTGCGTGGTTGTTTGGAAGCCAGCTGATTGCTTTTTCAAGGGCAAAGACACAGAAAAATGGATAGTATTTGGGGCAAAAGCCGACCACCACCCTTGATTAGTATGTAGCCTTTAAGTGCCTTGGATCAATAAACACCGCTATACGTAAGAAAAATCTCTATTTACTCCCCTCTGTCACTGTTTGTATAAAGCTCGTCTGTACCGTGACTCGATTTGGCGTTCTCGGCTCAGGGTACAAGGCTTCTTGACTGCTGCTGCTAACGTGGAGTTTATTCCTCCGCTGCGATGAGACTGTAACAATGGTACGTGCGTCATCGGGGTCGAGATCAGGGCGCCAATGATTCGTACTTCGCGATGTTTTCATGGGCTCATTTTGCAAATCAGACAGTGGGTATGGCCATGAATAAGTTCCTTGGTGGGATGACGTGTGATTATGAGCCGAATTCCCATCCAGGAACCAGCGGAATAAGGGTCGAAGAGTGATGAGACTGCCTGCTGTAATTCCGAGGCAGGTCTCGACAATAGACCATATGGCGATCTGGTAGGTTGAGTCTAGATGATGTTAGGCTTTTTCAAGGGGCGGGAGGCTGGCCGACATACAAAGGAAATCACCGGTCGCATAGAATGGTAGAACTGGAAGTCGACATATTACTGCCACGCTTGCACTATTTATAGTTAACAATGTATACATCTTTAAAGTGGCCAGTTGGCCAAATTATCACGTACATTGACCCTAACCCGAGGATTCCTCCTACTGCAAGCTTCGTTCGGCTATTCATTTGCAGATTCCAGACGAGGAAAATTGGTAGCAGGCTAAGTGAGACATCACACAATATAGTCACGGAGCTGTAAAAGTAAGTGACGCCTAAGATTGTGTACATCGACAAGCACGTTCCCTTGTCCATTGGATTCACTTGTTGCCAGAAGTGAGAGATGGGATTGCAGGCGAAGAGTAGCACAAGCCAGAGCATAAGTCCAACGGCAATGATAACCGCAATAATGCTCCAAATCATCACCCGGTAGGACCTTCTGACGGCTAGCCGGAGGAGCGCAACGGCGATTGATATTTTGGCAACTGCTGAGGCCCATATGTAGAGCATTTGACCAAGCCACCACAACTATAGAAGACGGTTAGCAATGAGTAGGAAATGGCGCATATCACATACCAGAAGTGCTCTCCTATAGATATCTATACTTGTAAAGTCTGTATATGTGTGCCCGACCCCATTCATTGCTCCGATAATGGAACATACATCCAAACAAATAAAAAGGATCTATAGAAAGTTAGGATGAACTATCACACCATGTCAAATCATTAAGGCTATTATACCAATGCAACAACCATCAGAGCGTCATCCCAGCCAAAGGCCTGGAGGATATACAGTCGCACAAAAGTTCGTAATGCAACCATCACAGTGGAGATACACATCATAACAATTGACACCATAAAGATGGCGAGGCTTCGGCCCACGATGGGCATTGAGGTTTCCATACCGACGCCGCTCTAGTTTTTTTTTAATGGACAGCTCCCCTCATTCATTACCGACCTGGCTTGGCCTTTTTTAGCGGCACATCAACTTGAAAGAAGAAATCAGCTGGTAAAGAAGTGCCAGAAAAAGATATAAGAAATTGAAAGATTGACAAAATACTTATTTCCCGAGTAGAAGCCTGGTCCACAATTACGAAGGAGTTCAAGGCTTCTTATACTTTTTATCCTAGCCAGAATCACAGGATAATCTGTTGCGAAGGATGGATTGACTCGAGGCTAGCTGAGCTAACGTTAGTGAAAAGCATTTTGAAACTTGTTCACGCCTGGATTGGTTCAGGAACATTAGGCGAATATAGCACATATAGGCATATAGACCCCCACCCTAGCCCGGACTGAAACGAGAGCCGTGCGCTATATATGTAAGTAGTCCAAAACAATTGCCGTGTGGGCGTTCTAGATCCCGATTATGTGCCGGCCGCGGGAAGATACCGATCTGATGTTGGCCAATTACAATTGCTGTAAATTTTCCAGATCTATTCAACTAGCGAATGAGGAGCCGGTTATTTAGGCTACACATGCCGACATCACGCCGAGATTTGGAATTGCAAATTAAAGCGGGTACTAGGTGGTACAAAGTAGACCTGGTCGCCTTGAAAGGGGGCGTTCGTGATTCAGAAGAACGTCAAATAGGCTTCGCTCCACTTTTTGTTGTTGTCGCATAGTAGAGTTCGTTGCTGTCAAGTAGGTTCGTCAGGTCTCCCTTTCAAAGGCCCTATTGAGATCCTTCCTGGCTTCCAGGCCTTTTATTTCTTTATCTCCTTGAAGCCATAATAGATAGACGCCATCATCACCTATTATCATTACACATTTGTTGAGTATTTCCTTGTTTCTTAGATAGCTAGAGTATATATATCAAGTCATCAGCCCCTTTGTTTTGGTATTATTAGAGTACTACACCTTCCTGTAGAGGTTGCCTTAGACAAGGAATTCCTTTCATTTTAAGCTACCGAGCCCACAAAGGCCTATCGAAGGGGCACGTTAACCTGTTAAAAAGCACGTTTTAGCCTAATGGCATCCATCTTTCAGAGCTGCTCTCATTTCGGCTCGGCCAACCGTTGTGCCGAAGTCCATGGTAATCCTTACAAACTTCTCAACAGACTCAAACAACGGGGTACCGAGTATGGTCAGTCGTACACGCTACGTTTACAAGGGGAGTTTCTTTATGAAAATATCTACAAAATTGCTTTCTACATCATTTAAAGCATGGTCGAAGCCATAAATTCCCGCTACCTTTTGATCGTAGCATCACAATAGTTACTAATAATAGATTTTGCCGTCGTCCGATTCATTACGACGATCTCTATTAGAATAAATAAACCGCCAATAATTGGTATTGTATATTTTCGAGAAATTTGGGCTCCATCGGACGTAGTGCTGCGTGGGAAAGGTCGTTTTGAGGGAAAATTAGTGAATTCCGAAAAGAGTAGTTGTTCGGAGTGGGGTCATTCTAGGAAATATTGATATTTAACTGGCTGGAATAAATGAAATATAAAACCTTATTTCGCTCCGACGTTGGGTATTCTAAAATGGCTTGCGTGGCCCACAACATAGATTCACTTCGATTTTCACTTCAACTCTACTAAACTGCATATCCAGCTGACATTGCCAAACTTTACTACACATCAGACTGCTAGTCGAAATCACGTGATAATGCAGATAGCAGAACAGTAGGTGATCGAACAATAGAATATGTGAAGGATATTCTATTCAGTGTACCTGTATCCACTTGCGAGAACAACATTACCACTAGGATCGTCACCCACCAACATGAATCCTAGAACAGATCCAATCTGACCCTTAGGTTTCGCCCGCAACTCCAATAGGAGGATTTGATTTTTTAAACTTTAATAGCTATGTAGAGTATACGAGTTAGGGTAGTCTACTAAGTCTATCTACTAGTACTAGCTTAAAACTCTACTATATTACTTATCTTATAGCTGGCTATAGAATTATAGAGTAGATAGAGAATAGGGTTATAATATAGAGTAAAGGTATATAAATACAATCAGTAGTAGTCCTATATATAGTAATCCTTTTAAATATATTATATAAGTACTTTTCCCTATTTAGACGCCTCCTATTAGGCTAAATAAGATTAGTCCCAAATACCGTAGGAGCGATACTAAAGCCATAGCCGTTTACACATGGAATATAAAGACTTATAGAATGTTTAATCAAAATCAGGAATTATAGAAGGGCTGAAAACCTTTTTGTCCTAGTAAAGATTTGACTATTTGATTTTCTTAATACTTTTATTGAATTATAATATTGTAGGCTAGTAAATGGTGGTTGGATTAATACTATAGAAAATTCCCCGTTTGGGTGATCGCGTTCATTTGGGTGACAGACCCTGTCTTCCGAGGGCCCGTATTTCCTGAGAAAAAGAAATTACACGGACCAGTCAGTAGGTGACAAGACCGCTGACGGTGTAAAAATGAAATCCACATAATCAGTCTCCAATATATATACCTCAAGGCAGAATCCTCTCTGCGCTATCATTGTCCCCACGACACACGTGCGGGCGCTCCTCATCGATCCGGAATGCCTGGTGGACGGAGATGTGTTTTGTGCCCTTAAACGGACCATAATTTCCAACCTGGATGCTGTGCAGCTGGTATGAATGCCGCGCTCTTTCACCTTTGGGTTGGAACCTTTCTATGGCCGCTTCCTCGGAGAGTTTCGCTATAGCGCGCGGCGAGAACAGCGAAAATCGCGATAGATATGTCGAGATCAGACCCTTTAACCGCATTGCACAAGCACATATAATTCCAAGGTTGATCTCGAACATAGACCAAATTCCTATGACGGCTTCGGTATTGGTTGAGTCTGCGGTATTGCCATAGTGCAACATGTATGGTACGCGTGCTATTGAGCAAATGACGACGCTATAGGATGGGGGTTTAGCGGAAATTGCTTCTGGGAAACCGATTCAGAGACGAGGGAAAACGTACCTAGATCCCAGAGCCAGCAAGCAGCCGACTGTAATTTTTTGTTTCTTTGAAGAATGGAGTGCGTGGATTGTCGGGATCGGGATAGTGATCACAGCGAAATCAGAGACAATGTTCAGAACTGCATGGGATAATGCGACTTTCTGTAGGCACACTTTAGTTCCTAGATGAAGAGGACTACACGGTCCTCCGGTAATGATGCACAGGGCCAAGGTGTATGTAAGGATCGCTGCTACAACAGCCACGATGATATAGCGGTATACTCTTGTAGGATTGATTTGGAATAAGACAGTCAGAATGGCCATCTTAGTGATACATGGACATATCAGATAAGCCAAGGTACTTATGAGCAGTTGCTACATCTTGTCAGCCAGCGTGAATCAAAATATGTAGAGGAGTCTCACTTTACTGAACTCTACAAGCTCTGTCAAGCTAACATCCTGGCCATGGTACATCACTATTTGGGTCAGATCATAGTTTGAGCACAAGAGAAAAGAGACGTACAGATTATCATAGTCACAGAATGGATCAGCGCAACTCCATAGGACGTTGTGATAATGACTATCGAGGGCAGTTAGTATGAGTGTTCAGCGAGTCTCAATGTGATTCGTATTATACCCAAATCTATCTCAATCTTCTTAGTGAGCTTGAAAGCCTGAAAGTAGCGAAGGGCCATAAAAATTGTGGCAATAGAATAGGTGATGCAAAAGGCGATGATAGTCCCTATTTTGAGCGACATAGAGGGCTGAAGGAACTGCAGTTTCTGCCCTTCTGGCTGGTTCAATCCTACGATAGGAGCCAAAGCCATTCTATCTGATTTTCGAATAAATTTGATTTATGTCACTCTGGGCCTTCTGGCTCTATATGTATACACTCGATCAGTTCCCGCTAACGAGCCAGGCCCTTGTGAGACGGGATTCAAAACAGCAATGGAAACCATAGTAGCCAGTAATATCGGAGGCTCATGAAACCTAAGTGGGCGCCCGTTTATCTTATCTCATTCTGCTAGTAGAGCTAAATGTTCCTTTTTCCCGCCTATCACAGGCCTACGGCACAGCACGTATTCCTCCCTAGTAAAAATATTTATGGGGAATAGCTGCCAATTTTCAAGTGTTATAAACTTCAACCAAAGTTTGACGCTAGTATAGTGCGCATCAGACCTCAGCTTCCGAGAAAATGAAACGGCGCCCCCGTGCCATAACTAATAACAGCGGATAGGCCTTGGTTGCTCGAAAACCGAATTTAGATGTCTTTCAAAAAGCCTATCATCGGGTAGTCAGGCAGAGATGTACACTCAATTTTTGTCGATCCGGATACATGGGTAGGTAGTAGTTTGATCGGGTTACGTTTACGCTCAGAAGCAAGTGTATAAAAGCTCCCTATCCTAAGGAAAGGAATCTATTTGACATGCTGTAAACCCCAACATATTGACCGTAAACACTCAGTATACATACTGTCCAAGGGAACATGCCAACTGGAAACTAAGCTACCTGTCACTTGCTTACCTTGCCTCGTGTTGACTTGAATTCATCCCTGATGGCCTCAATCAATCAATCAATCAAAGTTCAATTAACCTGTTGCAGTCTAACTAGTTGCGTATGACTATGCAGGCGCTTCATTCAACTGAAGCAAGAACTCAAAGCCAAACGCCGAGCAGGGACCACGTAATACAGTGTATCCCATGGAGTATACAGATGCCGATCGTAAAGAGTGCGGACCCAGCCCATTCCTGTAGCCCGTAACCCCATGAATCTAGACTCATCCAATCCCATACATAAGAAATTAATATATAATGATAGTTGTAGAGTGTACCCCTTACCTTCCAACCCCCACATCTCCATCTCTCTCTCCCTCTCTCTGTGTGTGTCTGTCTGTCTGTCTGTAACCTCCCCTGCCTCAGTTTCAATTGGTAGTGATGTTGCCCTGGCTAGTTGTTGATTGGTATGTTCGTCGACTCTGGCTAAGTTTCTCGTTTTCACAGTATCATTTGTCGTCATTGGCTAATACCTATCGTCTTCTATACCCAGATCTATCACCGCAAGTCCTATCGGTTCGTCGTCGTTGTCCTCGGGTGTTATGTACTACAACTTCTAGAGAAGACCTATTTGGTGTATAAAGTTGACGACGTAGTGGATAGCCTACGGGTTCGATACGATCTTATAGTAATCTATCTTATTAATCCTAGTTAGACTAGTTATGCCAAACCCCGCAAATAGGTAAGAGAAACCGACCCGTAACCCGAACCTGCAAACCCGATAGGTAGACTCGACTAGACCCCTGCATAGCCCATCAATGGGCCCAGACCCCCGGCCCAAAGTCCATTAATAGGGGCCTATCAAAGCCCATCAAAAGCCCATTTCTAAACACAAATATAGTCTTGGTATACATAAAGTAGATGATTAATAACTATATTTTAAGCAGGTACCAACCTATATCTTCAATATTATTATATTATTATAGTAAGAAGTAGGAATTAAGTAGATTTTGTACTAATTTTAGTATCATAATACTAGATTTCATACAAAATTTCATATAATAAACCTAAAAAGATCTAATTTGACCACAAATTCGTACCTAGAAGGAATTACTAACTAGTATAAAGAGATAGTTATATATTATCTATAGAGGATTAATACCACTTTCTATAGTCAATTATAGTAACACTTATAGTACCTCTACTTACTATATAAACCTCTAATAAAAATAAGTACCTCTTATAAAAAAGTAAAGCTTTATACAAAAACAAAAACATACAACAGTGAGGATTCGCTGGTGGTCACCCACCCAACTACTAACTCACCGGCGTGTGGCTTAAGTACGGCTGAGCGGACGGGAAGCCCTGTTTTCCACACCCTATGGTCGTATGTAACAGGTTAAGCGTTGAAGGGAATTATAGAACGAACACGAGGTAAAATCAAGTGTGGAAATATGGGCGAGTGTGACATGTGTGCACATAAGGGGAGAATGGGGTTGAATATCGCCCTGTGTCGTGTCATGGCCGACTGTGTTGGTCCTACCAGTTGACATGGGCTATAATACTATATCGCCAGCCACTTGAAACACTTGCAAGATTGGGCCCTTAGTATTTGCATCTCGTCACTAGGATAGATTTATCTTTGGAAATTGGGTTGGCCACCGAAAATTCACGGATACAATTCACGTGTAATATATATTTTATGAGGGAATGACATTGCAGGTAGGTTTCGTACGTTAGGCACTTGATCCCAGAGGCCGGAAAAGCGTTTAGTAAAGCATTGCCGTATGTATTTGCGCTAGTACTAGAGATACATAGAAGTATGAAACAGGAGGGGGAAATGAATAAAATAGTGCTGTTTAAGATGCTCACCGTATCAGCGGTCTAGAGCTTGCGCTTGACACTATAATCACGTTAGTTATGAGAAGTAGATGTAGCCCAACGGGGACACATACCATCTGCCAATAAGCTCCCTTTCTGCGCAACAATTCATGATGCGTTCCGGACTCAAGAATCATCGATCCCTGCCCGGACGCCCCTTCCCCAAAGACAAAGATCGCATCAGCTTTCTGAATGGTTGCTAGTCTGTGCGCCACCGCAATAATAGTCATGTTTCGCTTGCTTGCTAATCTCTCCATAGCACTTTGTACAAGACTTTCCGAGTGGGAGTCCAAACTGGATGTAGCCTCGTCAAGCAGAAGAAGTAGCGGTTTCCGGATCAGGGCTCGCGCAATGCAAATACGTTGCTTTTGCCCACCACTCAGAGAGGACTGAGCGTTGACGCCAAGTTCAGTCAAGAAGCCATCTGGTAGGGATACTATGAAGTCGTAAATTTCGGCGTCTTTGCATGCTTGAATCATTTGGTCTTCCATGGTCGGGCTATTGGGTGCTTCTAGACCGAGAAGAAGATTCTCGCGGATGGTGCCTTCGAAGAGTTTCGGCTCCTGGGCGACGAGTGACAAAGCACTTCTGTAAGAGGCAAGTTCAATGGAACGGATGTCTCGGTCACCAAATAGGATCGTTCCCTGAGTGCAGTCATAGAAGCGCTCGAGTAGTGAGACAAGGGTGGATTTTCCGCAGCCTGAAGGTCCGACAAATGCCACGAATTGACCGCTCTCAATGGAAATATTCAGATTAACGAATGCCGGTACCTCGCGAGTAGAATATTGGAAAGAGACATTTTGTACTTCAACAGAGGGGCTGGGGGTATGCTCTGACGAAGAGAGCGGCCCCGTTGGAACATGCTGAAGCTGTCCCTCGATAGGTTGCCGTGCAGTCAATATGCGATTGGCAGAAGCCTTAGCCTGGGCAATATTTGGACCAAAACTGAAGAACTGCCCAGCCGATTGGCCACCTTGGATGATAGCAATATAGACGACGAAGAATGCAACTGGGTCATATTCACGGGAGGCGAGGAGCTGGCCGCCGTACCAGAAGGCGAGCGCCATGGCACATAGCTCAACACTGTCGGAAAACGCAAATATCAACGTTGCGTACCACGCCTTCCGGGTGGCCTTTTGACGTTGATCTTTCAGCAAATTTGAATATCTTTCCAAAATTGTATCTTCCATGGTCAGAGCAGTGACCGTTCTGAAGGCCCGGACTGCCTCCGTTGCGAACTTGGAACTATCGGCATAAACTGCTGCATTTAGGGTCTCAAATTTGATCTCATATCGAATGCGCATGAAGGCAGAGAAAAATATGAATGGCATGGCGGCAAAAAAGGTGACAGCCGCTAGCTTCCATCCAAACGCGAAGGAGATCGAAACACATCCAACGATGTTGAAGATCGAGATGAGAGGGAAAACACCAGTGGGACCAAACATCTCCTGTAACTGTTTTGAATCAGTGGAGAGTCTGGAAATCAGACTACCCGAGGAATTCTCCTTGCGGTCATAGTAACACACTGGGTTGGACAAGATGTTGTAGAAATAATCCATCCGAGCATTGGACACGACAAACTGAACAGTTAGCCTTGCTTGGAATTAGTGAAGTATGTAGACCCACCATCGAGATCGAATTGGATGAAAACCCTAGCATGAAATAGAAAATCGCCATGGCAAGGGCGAGGATGAAAAACATCAATGCCCAGAAGTTTGCAGCGTCCACGAGCTTCTGGCCAGTGAACTGGAAAACCTGTACAAGTCTGGCAAACAGCCAACTTTGTAGGGAAAACCCGGCTATTGTACCCTGTAAGCTTATATCTGGGAATGTGGGGGAGAGCGTGGTGAATACTTACATCCTGCTCCCACAGCCCCGATCAGTGTGAGTGCATATAAGAGCCAATGGCTACGATTTTCATAAATGAGCACCCCAAAGCTGTGGAAAAAGCCAAAGCTTTTTTCAGGATCAGGACTATCATGGCCATTTTGGTCACTGCCTTCTTTGGTGCTGTAATCTTGAGCCCTGACTTCTTCTTTCTGCGAAGCCATCGAAATTGGCACGTCGGCATCCATTAAATCTGTAAGTGGCGCTAGCTGTTGCGCATGAACCAAGCTATGGTATATCCCCTCCCTGAGTAATAACTCATTGTGGGAACCTTCTTCGGAATTTTGGCCGTCTTTCATGACGATGATCTTGTCCGCGCGGCGGACAGTGGACAAGCGATGTGCGATCATGATTGTAGTTCGATCTTTGGACACACGATCGAGCGCTGCTTGTACGATCTTTTCTCCGTGGATATCGATCGAGCTGGTTGCTTCATCAAGAATGAGAATTTGGGGTTGACTGACGATGCTTCGCGCAATGGCAATCCTTTGGCGCTGTCCGCCACTCAATGTGATTCCACCTTCCCCAACGGTGGTCGAGTAACCCTAAAAATAAAATCATCAGATGAGATGAAAATGCAAGGAGTGCAGTGAAAAGGGTGTAACGATACCATTGGAAGGCGGTCGATAAATTCATCTGCAAAGGCTTGTTTGCAGGCTGCGGTGATGAGGTCCATCTTCACAGCATCCATATCATTCTCCCACTGCGATCCGATCAGACCAAACGCAACGTTGTTGTATATTGTATCATTGAACAAAAACGGCTCTTGCTGAACAAGTCCGATCTGGGATCGCCACCACTTAACATCCAAGTCATTGATGTTGTGAGCTCCCACATGGATATGACCCGATGTGGTCTCTTCTTCTTCTTCTTCTTTTTCGGACTTAATTTGATACCATCGCTCAATCATAGCGACAATAGTGCTTTTACCTGAACCGGAGGGACCTACCAGAGCCGTAGTTTTATTCCGCTCGAATATCGCATGAAATCCCTTAAGTACGGTCATTTCTGGTCGAGTGGGATAGGCAAACTTCACGTTCTTGAACACAATATCCGCATGGGATAACTCCGGGTCTCGAATTCCTGGTGGATCGTCTTGCTTGGAGTCAATAACACCAAAAAAGGCACCGGATGCACTAATGGCCTTCGAGATGGCCATCAATGGCCCTGCAATACCTCCCAAAATAGTGACCACGAGGAGCACGGAAAAGAATACCCTAACTGATTGTCAGAACACGGCATCACAATTATTCAAAAGATAGGATAATCATACGTGATCACGGTATTAATGTTCGCAATGTGACCTTCGCGATACAGCTTCAACCCAAACCAGAAGGCCAGGGAGAAGCTGACATACATAGCGAAGAAGAGCATTGCAAGGTGAATTCCACTGACCAGGGACATACGCAGGCCACGTTTTCGTGCTTCCTCGACCCAATGGGTATACTTTTTGAAGAGTGGTTGTTCAGCATTGAGAGCGAACACCGTCCGAATAGAGCCAAATACTTCTGCGGCGAGGGCTGCATGCTTCTCGTCGGCTTTGTCGACATTCTGCTGCGCTTTGACCAAAAACGGCACTGTCAGGCTAAAGCCTACGATCACGAATACAATGGCGGAACTAACAACAAGCGTCAGTGCCCAGGAATAGCGAAATGCGATGGCGTAAGCTGCAATGAGCAAGGCAAGTGACTGGAACAGAATGGCGAGCCGATCGGAAACACTTTGCTGGATCGTATTTGACAGTGCCGTGATCGCATGTGTGACAGTTCCGACCGACATCTCATCCAGCTTGCTCATAGGAAGCGAAAAGAGAGCCTGGGTGTACTCTAGGCGCAAGGCCCCCGAGGCGCGGAGGCTGGTTAATCGAAAGCAAATCTGTCTCGTGTGAGTAACAACGGAGCTTTGGGAATAGAAAATCACAGTACCATGGATATATATGTTAAACAGAACTTTCCGACAAACAAATACACAATATACAAACTATAAAGAGACAGTAAGCTCGCTGCCATGAGAAATGGAGTGCAAAAGATTTACCTGTTTTGATTGACGGAGGACTTGAATGATTGCTCTGTGATACCCGACCCCGGAATAAAGTACTCATTGAAGTTGCCGACCAGCTGGCCAAAGACAATATTCATCAACGGAAGAGCCTGAATTTTCATTAGTTCATCTTGAGTACATCTCGAGATTCGCTCTCAACGTACAACTCCCGAAGCCATAGCACAAACTAGCCCCAAAATCATAACATAAATACCCCCGTGAGAGGCACCATACGATAGAATCCTCTGGAGGTGTGTGAGCAATAGTAGACAAACCCAGGTCTATCAATGAATCAAAACCTACCGCATAGCTACCGAGACTTGCTGGTTTGGCTGCCTCATCATTTGATTTCACCGAAAGAGCAACCACGTCTGGATTGGTGATGTGGTTATTCTCTGGTGATGTTGGTATGTCCTGCGTTTCGACGCGATGCTGGGAAACTGACGGAGGCATTTTTTTCACGTCAGCACAGCGCTTTGAGAGAAAATATAATTTTTGTCGGACTTTTGCACCATCGTCGGAGCAGTGGTTTCATGTGTAACTGAAAAATCGAATATACGTGTGAGAACCCCCTATGGACCCTCGGATACGAGATAGGCACCAGCAAGGCATCAGCCGCTCAAAGTTGTCACGGACCCTCTGATAGGTGTTGGTCGGGTTCGGGTTCTCCGCTAATTTTAGTCCGACCCCTATTGCTAATTTGGGAAGCGTATTGTCCAAACATATGATATGGGCTCAATCGATAATAAATATATACATAGATATACATATACATATGGCGATTCATGGTAGAATGCAAACAAAGAAGTGGAATCGCAGGAAAAGAAGAAGTCTCTTTGCTAATATGCCAATATTAGATGTAGTTAGAGTTTACTCCATACGTAATTGTTCACCACGAAGGCTTTGCTTCAAGTTCTGTGGCTCTTGGCAAGCCATACCACTCCACACCGAAGGCGCGTGTGCTACAATTTGGCTCCCCGGCAATTGATTCTTGCATCCAACATCTCAGTACGCTGATTCAACAGAGCGAAGAAGGCACGGAGCCCTTCGAACTGGGTGGTGTTTGCTCGTTTTCTGGTTGCAATTGGGTCAGCTCCAAGTGGGCGCACGGTTAGCTGGGTATTATTTCCGTGGAACACGGAACCCAGCTTGAGCTTATGGTCTCAGGCTCTCAGCTACTGAGACTATGGATCAACGTAGCGTTGAGCAACTTGAGCTCCTGTTGAAGAAGTTGGTTGCCACCATTCAGTTGTTCTCGCAGTTTATGCAGTACCGGTTGGCAACAGTGACTAGCAGGATCCACACATGAAGACCTTGTCTTGCCTCAACAGCGGTGCCGTGAATTTGTAGATGGGTGGGAAGAGGTGATGATCCTTTGTGAGATAGTAGCGAGTCAAAGGATGGACTGGTAGACTGTACAATGAAAAGACCAGTCAAAATAATTTTATATGTTTTATATGTTAACAGTTTAGCACAAAATTGTTTATCTTGTTGCAGTGAATTTAAAATTTGAACGACTTGTAATGGCGATATTATTTTTGGTGACCTCTCCACCCGTGGCTAGATCCCATTGTTTTGGTACCGCCTTCCTAATTGGATATGTCCGCCTTCCGAAGTTGACACCTAGTTTTTCTTATCGCTGCACTTACCGCCTTCATATTTGACAGCAGAAAGGTATCCCGAGGTCATATTTTAGCCCCGGGGGGCCACTGTTGCCGGCTCTAATCGGTCGGCCCCGCCTAGGCCTCTAACAATCGCCCCGGGGACGACCTCGGGAGACCAGGCGGCTGACTCACTCACCAGCAAATCAAAAATGTCGATGTTTCATACTTGCAGTGGTGTAGAATATGTGAGGAGTCTATCGAAGCAATAGCCGCTACCATGGTGTGGACAGGTAGCTAGATCCTGCCTTTCGAAATCTCGGGGCTCTAAGTTTTTTTACACTACAGAGAGGTTTAAGGGAAGGTGTATAGAACCTATGGCAGACTAAGACCTCATCCATAGTCGCTGAATTAATAGCTGATGGATAGGTTAGGAAGGAGTGTTGAGTAGTAAACAGATTAACTAGAACAAATAACCTTAGTAAATATGCCCTCTTTGACCGACACCTTCGTTCCTCATAGTCTCTATCCCGCTCCACTCATCCCCATGCCCTATAAACTGCGAATTTTTATCCACCCAAAATAATGCATCGATACCATGGAGCATTTCTACTGCGCAGAATTGTATATAAGAATATGTGTAGATTTCATTTTGGAGTGGTCGTTGCTCCCGCTGGGACTGGCCCCGAGGAAGCCGGGGTCGATGTGGCTGTTGGTCCGGCTTTTGTGGAGCATCTTCCCTTGACTGTCGTTCTGGCTATCGCGGTCCAATCTTTGTATGACGTGTTGGGCGCATTTTTCAGGGTAGCGGCCCAGATGTTGTGTCCATTATCGTGATAATTGAGGGTGATATTAGAGGGACAGCTGGGGTTCCCCGGAGCGGGGAAGGCCTGAGCCCATCCTAAGTCCACCAGACCTGTGCTCGTGGAGGCATTTCCACTCGCGCTGCCCTGGGTCCATTGCAAACAGTTTAAGCATCTGAAGATCAAGGTATAGTGTGTTGCATTTATAGTGGACGAAATTTGGGTTAGCTCGGCATTCCCGGTGTAGACGTCCGGCATGTGGTAGCCTGTGGTGTAACGGAAGGACGTGAGAATGGATCCCCTATAGGGGTAGGCCAGCAAGAGAAGGGAATTTGTCATTGTACCCCCGAGCGAAACACCACACCAACCGGTGGAGGTAGTATTCTGCGAGGAACATAGCTGCGAGACTGCTTAGTAAAAAATACGGGCAGAGCGGAAAGTACAAAAGGCGGACAGAACCACACACCAAATAGCCGATAAATTCGGTAGCGTCTGTGGTGAGAGCATCGGATGGCAGAGCGATGCCAAAAGTGAACCCTCCCTTGGATAAGGTCTCTGAAACAGTCCAAGTATCAAAAGTGATGCCTGTATCCGGGTCTGTGTATGCCACTGGAGTCCCGCTCTGAGCCACAGAGGTTGTTAAGACTGGATGAAACTAGATTAGCTAGTGATTCACCCATCTCTCAGCAGGAAGAGGCGAGAGCTTACACAGCGTGACGGCCGCAACGGCGGCAAAAGCATGGGCAAAAAATCTCATCTTGCTATTCGTCTTATGATTTCAATCGCAGTGTCTAGCATGCCAGTATTAGAGAAAGTTTTATGCGCCCACAAACAGGGTGAATAGGCATCTTTTAACATTGAACACCACTTCCCCCTCCCCCCCCCCCCGGTAATGACTGTTATCCGAATATGATTAAGGGTGGCAAAAGAAATGCGGGATTAGACACGCATTGAGTGCAGGGCGATATCGGAGGTGTGTTTCCGTTTGATTGGAATATATAATAAAAGAGGGCACAAGATTCTACAAAATGACAATAGCCCATCTGTTATTGGTCGATCCCAAATCATAGGGCTGTAGCCATCGCAATCGCCGTAGCGGGGGGAGGTGGGGAGGGCATAATGATTTGATAGCTCCCCGATGAACGGCCGACTGGTGAAACATCAACGGGGGTTATGAGACGCTAGCTATCCTCCTTGTCAACCTCCGAAGTTGCGACTAACGATCAATGGATAAAACAAGGCGGCGATCATTATGTACCCATCCTCCCTCCCTTGTCTAGTTCCCCCGGTAAAGGCCCGATAAAATGCAGCACTAGCAACTCCAAGCAAATGCGATTATCAATCGCCAATCAGTTAGCTAACTAACTAACTAACTACCAGTTTATCAATTACCAATTACTAACACCAATTTCATTTCCATTTTTCTTCCGCTACTTTACCGTAATCAATGGATGGTATTTTTTGCCCTAAATTATCACTAAGTTGGACCCCAGACCATGTGGTACATAGGAGTGAGTGGCTTGTATCTTCTTGGAGCCAATGGAGCTGTAGGACGAGAAAGTGCTGATAGAGAAAGTTGAAGGGTTAGTCAAAACTATCTATACAGTGAGTCGCCGTAGGGTTATTACGGACCCACAGCTTGTAACTGGGCAACTTGAAAGGTCAAGCTGGGCTAGGTCCTTCACCGAATTAATACCAGAAAACTGCACCGTGGTCAAGGGCAAGAGCTAAAAGACCAGCTGCGAACTACGACTCTATAATATTCCTAATCCCGATTCCGAAGCCAAGAGAAGTAACCTAGGCGTGAAAGTTGGTCTAAGCCCCCCTTGACTGAGGCTTGTCCTTATACTTCACAATTCGGGTTTAGATTGTTTTAGGATCGGTTTCCCCTAACCCAGTTTGACAGGACTGCCAGCCAGATAGTCTCTCCCTCTTCTTCTTTTCCCATTCTTGTTCAGCAGTTAGCACTTCCAATACAGTTGCATTACTTTCTCTCTTCTCCTGGCTTCTTCTCAGATTGTTTTTTAACCAATCTTGATTCACTTGCCACTCTACTTCCCAGTAGGCTGTGAAGGAAGGGAATGAAACCAGGTCGATATATTGTAATAAGGTTCAGCTGAAGTACAAACGTTACACTAAATTATTCTCCTTAATTGGTATCTAAGGGTTCTCTCTTCTTTTATGAGCTGTAAGAAAAGAATCAGTATGAAAGGACACTTCAGCAGTTTATGGGCGTACAGGATATTCAGGTATCAGATAGTAGTGCTTAGCGTATTGAGGTGAATAGGCCGAAGAGTAGGTCGGCAGATGGGTAGATAGTAAGAGACAGGAGTTATGGAGAGAACTCCCGTCGACCATGCCTGTCGCCCACTAGCTCAGAAGACTTTCGATTGTGCCCGAAGAAAATGCATTCGCCCCCTTCATCGTTTCGCAGGGGCCGGATATAAGATGCAATCCAAGGTCGCCCTCTTCATCATTGCCTTTTGGCCGGTGCTACGGCCACATTGCTCTCGACTGAAATTGTACATGTAGGGTCTGCGGTTGAATTCCGAAAACGACTACCAAGCATAAACGATGAGAATAGTTTATAAATGAAATTTAAGGCGGGTACAACTAATCTGCATGTCTCTAACGCAATGCAACATCGGGAAGTTTGCCTTATCCACTTGGAAAGCTAGCAGTTGTGGAAATGTGAAATCTTCATAACTTGATGTGACGCTCACGAAGAATACAAAACAAGGAGATCCGAGCCACGGGAGATATTCCCCGTTTTAGCTTGCTCTGCACTAGCGCTCAGACCTAGTGCTTATATTACAATATCTTCCACAATCGGGACTCCGGTCAAGGCTTCACATCCCTGCATCAGCCTTCTCAATACACCTCTCTTTGTATAGCTGTATTATGCAACATGTAAGGCCTATACTGCAACAATTCTATGCTCATATTCAGGGCCACCCCCGATTTCGTCCCCGACCCTGGTGACAAGAAAATTTCTCCACAGTGCTTGATGTGATGCTCAGAATCAGACCTGGGCTCCACGATCTTGCCATTGGATCCTGTCCGGAACTGCTTTCGCCAATAAGAGATGCAATGGATGGTGTGCCACTGGACGCTTATATGGACCAAAGCCTCAGGGCGATCTCCCAAGGCCGCCACCTCGTTGGGGTCAATCTGGATATTACATTCCCGATTGGCGTAGTATATCCAAGTTCCATTAGAGCCGTCTCCCATTGTGTTGAATTCTTCCTCTAATTCATCGTCGCGACAATGCTCCGGAAGGCACGCCATTTCGAGCCCGTCGAAATCTGCAACCGCGGGATATTGCCTCTGCGACGGATTCTCCAGTCGCATCCCCTTGGCTCAATGCTAGAGGAGATTCGGCAGAGTGCGAGGTGAAAAGGTCCTTACTAACGGGTTGGATATTCCCGCTAAGTGGAGGGAATACAGTGGACCCAGGTGCATCGTTTTTAGTACTTTGAGCCGGCAAATTCCTTGGTTCATGGTTCAGCTCGTAACACCCGATGGTCCATTCAGATAGGTAGTGTGTTCACGAATGGGATCGATATTTCCATATAATTTCCTAGGTAATCCCCACTACGGTCGCGATGGCTGTCGGAGGTATGTAATTGGGCTACTATCTTCGCGCGCCATTTAAAGTCTAGTGCCACAGGTCCATGTAGATGTTGTCTCCATCGTCACTATAGACCCGTCATCCACCGTGGCGGCAGATATATGCTAGCTTTACGTTAGTCTATTTGCCCTCCGACGCCGCTTGGTAATGTTTCTTCCCACCTTTCTGATGGCTGGATGACATTGAGACCGCGCGTCATTCCGCAACTTTAGGTGATCATCGCCATGTCTATAGCACACTAACCCTTCTCACTTTCACGCGGCACTAAACTAGGGCGATTCCAGTGATTTGTAATATATAAACTCCTCCAATACCTAAGATGATACATACGACCATAGGGTGTGGAAAACAGGGCTTCCCGTCCGCTCAGCCGTACTTAAGCCACACGCCGGTGAGTTAGTAGTTGGGTGGGTGACCACCAGCGAATCCTCACTGTTGTATGTTTTTGTTTTTATTATTGTCTAAACCTAGATAGAAAGGAATAGTCGGCCTTGTTTATTATGTCTTTTCGGATGTATTTGCAGGCAGTAAAAAGCATCAACTATGCAAAGTACTTTTCTATCTATATATAACTTTCGACCTAACGGTTCCCTATAGCTCATATATTATCCTTATATATCCTCAATAGCTAAGCAGACAGTAAGCAGTAGTTTGCATGGAAATACACATTAAATCCTTCTCAGGAATACCATCACATCTCCGGCCCGAACGGTGTCGCCTGGTTGGACGAGTACCTTCTCAATCGTGAAAGACTCATCAATGCCATCTCTCTTGTCCCCATCGTAGGAGACGGAAACTTCCATTTTCATTGCCTCAAGTATGACAACAACTTGAGCAGAGCGGATAACATTGCCATCTACAAAGTTGACCTTCCACACGTTTGCATCGAGAGGGGCATACATCGTAAGAATATCAGGGTCTGGTGATCTTCTGTCAGTATGCTGCAATATTGATTCATTTACAAAATCTGGAGCTGACCTTCTCTCAGGAGCGCCATTTCATCAACGGGGACGTTGTTTTGCGCTTTCTCGGCGATCCATCTGTCCATTGATTCTTTTTCCAAGGCTAACATTTTTACCTGTGCCGTAGCTTGGCGGGACTTAAATCCCGCTACTTCGTCTCTAGTTTCCTCAAGAAGACGGTTGTGGGCGCTCATATCGAAAATGGCGTCCTCGTACTGGAATTTGTAACAACCAGACCGGAAAAGCGCCATATCACGCTCAAGCTCTTCCTTGTGTACTCGATAGAAGGTAATCTGGTCGAAGTCGCGGAACAGACCTGGCTGACTTGGCGAGAAGTCGGGTTTCACTCCCAATTGGTCGAAACATGGAATAGTTTGGCCCGTCATCTGGTAACCTCCGGGGGAATCAACGGGATAGATGCTGTTAAAAGTAGCATGTTAATTTCGTCAACTTCAGTAGGATCCATGGATGAAAAAAAAAAAAAAAAAAGCTTACTTCATGCATGATCCACCCCAGCTGACACTTCCTTCTGGGGTGTACACCCGACTAGGGTTCTGCTTGGGACATATCAATCGGTAGCGGGGATCAACTGGCAGACAGATAGTATCGCCACAGAAGAACCCGACACAGATCGCCATGAATTCGACTGAAAGGAAAATATCAATCAGTTCATCATATGTAACCCCATTTATATTAGCCACGAAGTCCATGTTATTGGGTAAGAATGGAGCATGTGGTCTTTGTGTCTCTATGTATCGCTGGATGGCTTCTTGTTGAGCCGGGCTTTCGAAGCAGATGGGAAGACGGAACTTTCGGCTTGGGACTTTTGAGCTGCTGAGATCTCCAACGGCTTTTTGCAACGATACCAAAAGGTTGACAAGGTTGTCTTGGGGGAGCCTCAGACCATCGTAGTGGATCAGGAGCGCTTTATTCCGGATTATTAGTCCAGGTCAAAAACAACGCTGTAGAGGGTAACTCACAATTGCAGCATCCGGTGGTCTTGTAGATTGCCCGTCTCAAAAGTTCGTCACATGCTTGAGAGTCTTGGAAAGCCTGGTCCAATGCTGTCACACGGCAGCGATGATTAAGATTGAATTTTCCATCACCGAACTCGACCAGCAAGAACTCATCCCCACCCTGCCAGCGACAGTTAGAAATTGATGATTATAGTAACCTGAACTATCGCTTACCTGTCTAAATGTCATGGAAATCCCAGCTTCTATCAGTTCGGTTTGGTAAATCAACGCCTTTCCCCAGTTGCCAGAAACGGTTGATTCTGGCAACGTGGAAGCGAATATTGGCTTGATGATATCCATATTGCACTGGCCGGCTACAAGTGCGGAAACACTGTCCATAAATTGTTCCAATTCAGCACGAGCACGAAGAGCATCTTTCAATGATACTCTGCGGTATTGAATAGTGTCGCCAGATTTCAGTTGACCCATACGCCATAGACTGGCTTTCACAATCGTCGTAGAGGAAATGAAGCCGCCAAGATCAGGGGCGTCAACGGGGAAGATGCAAGGACTGAAATGGTCAGTTGAGCTAGTAGGATCAATGTCAAGAAATTTGCCATTGGGGACTTGCCTGTCTCCTGTCCAGTTCAAAGATCCGGTTGGGTACCCATATTCAATAACGTTGCTAGGGTGTTGCCCACCCTCGCCCCCATCCTCTCTTGCCCATCTAGGGGTAGGCCCCACAAGACGAATGCCACCTCTTGTGGCATTATGCGAGACATCCCTGAACTCAAACAGTTAGAAATCCCTTATAATACCTCCTTCTATCTACTGGTAAGACATACCAGACCGTGTCATAGATCATGTCAATATCTTCGCATACAATATATCCCTCATCGTACGGCCCAACCATAGCATCAATTTCCCAGTGGTTGGAGTATATAGGACGCAAATGGGCGGGCAGTGATATCTCGGGCTCTCCTTCAACTGCATCGAGCTTTTCAATGTCTAACATATCACCTGGAGCGAGCGATCTTCCTTGATATCCACCAATCCCAAGTAGAGGCGATGTTGATTTTGATCCAAAGTATGGCGCACTGCATATATAGTTAGTTCTGGTGTCGAGAAGAAACATTGTTTTATAGCTCACATTGCCGGAAATCCCCCAAGAACAGCGAGATATGCTATCAGTAAGTCAGCAGACTAAACCCGGAAGAGTAAATATTGTGAATATCGTACCTCGGCATCCGCCGGATCCATTTACCTTCCCAATTGATAGCGTTTGACCACGTTTGATATAGAGCCGTGTCCACATTGACACGTCGGCCCCATCAAGTGTGATATCCATTGGAGCACCGCATACAGAGATGCATGCTGGAGCTAGAAAACGTAGTTCCGGTCCTTTCAATGTGATCTCTAGGCCTTCGGTGCCGGAAGGATTCCCAACCAAAATATTGGCAACTGCAAGCAAGATATATTGTCAGAACTCTTTGCACGTAGAAAAACAGAAAATGCACGTGATGGGTGTACCTTGAAATGCCAAAGGGTCCTGATATCTGTATGTCAGCTGATGAATTGGTTCGATCCTTAGGGAGTCTAGCTCACCATTGGCCCTGCTTGTGGAATTCCTCGCCCAGCAGTTGGACGTCCTGGATAGTCTTGAATTGTTGTATACACACCTGGTGATATGACATCAATCGCAACGGGAGTAAACTCGAAATCGGCCAAGAAGTTAGTCAACGTATGCCCCGAGCAAAATCTATCGGATTGAATGATGGCGTTCAAGAATTTCAAATTTGTCGGTGGTCCGCAGATTGTCGAGTGCGACAAAACATCACCCAGTTTTTCAATGGCTGCTGTCCGGTTGGAATCATGTACCATGACCTTTGCGATCATAGGGTCTACGGTTGTTCAGTTAGTCTATATCTTCATATAGCATCTTGCGTTAAATAACAGACCATAATATGTGGAAATTCGAGTTCCTGTAGCGACCCATGTGTCAATTCGAGTGCCGCTCATCTCCTTCCATTCAACATGTTGAAGCAATCCAGGGGATGGAGAGTAATTTCGAGCTGGGTTCTCTGCATACACACGAGCTTCAATCGCACAGCCGGAAGGCTTGTCTGGCTGCAAAGATTCCAGATATCCCTTGTCCAGACCTCCGTGATTGCACAACTCCCGATCAACTTGTTGAAGCATAAGCTTCACAATATCAAGGTTGTAGCAGAGCTCGGTGATACCATGCTCGACTTGAAGACGAGTGTTCATTTCCAGAAAGAAGAAATCTCCCGATACGTCATCAACTAAGTATTCGACAGTGCCTGCAGATCCATAGCTAATGGATTTGGTCAAAGCAACCGCTGCAGAGGTGAGCTTCTCACGGAGACCTGGGTGCTTTTCCACGAACGGGCTGGGGCACTCTTCGACAACCTTTTGATGACGGCGTTGAATCGAGCACTCTCGCTCTCCGATATGAATTGCATCTCCCAGACCATTGCCAAAAACCTGTACCTCGATATGATGACTCTCGGGATAGTAACGTTCCATAAAGACACCGGCATTCTTGAACAAAGTTTCTCCTCGGGAGCGGACTTGTGTCAAAGACTCTCTGACCTCTTCCACTGATTTGCATATCATCAAGCCCATACCACCACCGCCACCTGTGGCTTTTAGCATAACCTGTATAAAATTATGGTTAGTAGATATTTTTTTTAACCTACGAACAGTTAAAGGGAGTAGTACGGGATATCCCAATTCATTTGCCGCTTCCACGGCCTCGTCTTCTGTGACGAGCAGTCCCTGCGTCCCGGGAACAATCGGGACACCGGCTGCCACAGCGATCTCACGAGCGCGATGTTTCAACCCGAAGGCTTCAATTGCTTCGGACCGAGGGCCTACAAAAATCATCCCAGCATTGGCGATAGCTTGAGCAAATTCCACATTCTCCGACAGGAATCCATATCCCGGAATAATGGCATCGACTTGATTGGAACGGGCGATTTCGATAATTGAATTTCTATTAATCCATCATCTTTTCAGCTCTAGTTTCGTAGTGAAATCTTTTTTGGCAGTGAAAGGGACGAACCCGTTGATGTATGCGGTAGAATCGTCACCCGGTAGTAGGAAAGCTTCATCTGCCGCCCGGATATGGTTTGAGGTTGCGTCGGCGGCAGTGTATATTGCGATCGTACGGATACCTAGCTCTCTATTGCAGACGAAGAGTTAGCTGTGCTGCTTCTGACAACGGGCACTTTGCTTACTTGGCTGTTTTGATGATGCGAACGGCGATCTCACCGCGATTTGCGATCAGCAAAGTCTTCAATTTCTCCATTGTGACAGCATTGATATCGACTTCTGGGAATTTGCAAATAGATATTAGTATACCAAACTCCATTCGGCCGAGGTTCACCTCCAGACAAGCTTATCACGGTCTCCAAGTCTCCAACATGAAACGCCAAGTGTTGGGGTAATTAACGTGCATCCGACTGGCTGGAAAACACCGGTTATCTCGGGGACTCCTTCATAAAGGAACCTGGATATCCCCGGATCGGATCATTTGGCTTATCTTTCGCCTTTCATGTCTTCTCAAGCGAGAGAACACAAACGGGTGTACCAGGTATGTGGGCCGTAACCCCTCAACACCCCCGCATTTTGTAGCCGATCCTCTCTGACGCTGTATCCAGGCTTGTGAGCCTTGTAGGGAGAAAAAGGTACGTTGTGAGTTGGGATCGGCCGATTGTCCGAATAAACCACCTTGTGCGCGATGCCGTAGAGAGAGCAAACAATGTTTTTTTGCCGCATCGAGGATAAGAAAGACTACCTCCACAAAGCGGAGAGCGCAATCACCTCTTGTTCAAGAACCCAGATCGCAAAACGCGACTGGTGTTCCTGGTTTGGCAGTGTCTCACGGCAATCTACCTCCTGTTGTAGAGGAAGAGAGTCAACCCTTCCCGGAAGATGGACGTGCTGCAGCTGCTTTGCTCGAGGGTCACCCCCGAACGTATCATGACGCATTGACATTGCTATCAGAGGCTTGTGAGCACAGTGAGGCCCGAAAGGAGTCAACTAATGGCTCGCCGCCGTCCAATACTCCCCTAAGCGCCAGGCCAAATCCCACTGACCGAGCACTGGGGATTCATACCGATACAGCCACCAACAAGGGCACCGATGAGGCTCTACACGCTTGGTCCAACGTCCGTTTTGTCCGTGGTGGACTTTTCACAGCGGAGGAAGCTCTAGACATGGTTGATCATTTTTATAACTTCCAGTCAGCCTTCTCGCCCGTTGTGCCGGAATCCTTTCGCAGTCATTCCCAGCACGCGACGCTGATCGAGGAGGAGCCCGTATTGACTATAGCGATATTGATGATTGGATCGCGTTACCGAAAGTGGACAGGACCGGCTGCGGTTGCACGTTCCTATATTGTTCATGATCGGATTTGGAGATATTTACAGGGAATGATTTCCCAATTGTTTTGGTCGGAGGACCTATTCGTAGGTGAATTTCTTTCTCTCAAAGACCCTTTTCCTAGTCCTAGGAGAGGCCCGCGACCGACATATATGGACAGCTGGTCGCACGGGTTCCGCACGTTAGGGACGTGCGAGGCATTGTTGCTGTTGCTAGATTGGCATCCTCGGGCTCTCCACTTTCCACCCCCCGACGAGGATACGTCGTCAATCGTGATCCCTGAGCCGAAACGACCGCGCAAAAGTGCTAGTACCACTGGATACTACGGGCCCGGGTCCGGACATGACTGGCTCGCTCGATCAGATCGCCTATGCCACTCTATGCTTTCCACTGTTTTGATGCTGGCAACCGAGATGGGTATTTTCTGCGAGGATAATTCATTTTGGCAAGATGAAATCAGAAACGACCATCTGAAGATGGCTCGTGACCAAGAGAGATTTCACCGTATACGGTGCTTGATATGGGTTTATGCGACGCAACAGCCGGGTCGACCAGGTAGCTACCCCCTCGACAGATACACCCTATGCGACACTTTTGAAAGAACAATACTAATAAGGAGTTTGGCATACGGTAGGAGGGAGGAATCCAGCGCAATGCACTCCCACAAAAAGCCCAGGCATGAGGAATGATGATGCGACGGAATGCTGGATGCGCGTCGCAACTATCACGAAGAATGCAAACGACCTTCTCTTTGTATCGCCAAAATATACAGGGGAAATTATTCGCAATGGGCAATACCTTCAGATTGTTCACAGCCTCGAGCCACTTCTAAACGAATCAATTGTCGAGTTTGATTATGCCAAGTGTATGTATCAGCCCTGAAGCTATGTAAATCAGCGCTTATTTCAGTGTAGTGGCAAAGAAAACGCGAAATATCCTGAGCATCGAATACGAGTACGCACAACTCTGTGTTTTCGGCCTTGCTTTGCAGGCTGTAATCAGCCGAAATCGCCGTGATAATATAAGTTCTAGGCAAGAGAGATGCTCACGAGGTACTTCACCGGAAGAGGAGAAATATCTGAGAGGAACTGTTAGGGCTGCTCGGGCTATACTTAAAACGGTGTTGGATGATCTAGTTCCTCATGGAAGTTTAACGTATATCCCTGTTCGATCATACTCCAGGATTCTCGGTGCGACTTTGATTCTTCTCAAGGTAAGTGGTCCTCCGTCGCTCTTTATTGTCCTTGCCTTTCTTTTTTTTCATTGCTCTAAATCGTGGAAACAGTGCTGTGCGGCCGGAATTAGCGAGATCGACGTACCAATGTCCCTTGATCTGGTTCGGCGAGTCGCTGTTGGCCTTCGTAACTCTGCAGTCGATGATACGCACTTGAGTACGCGCTGGGGCGATCTTCTCGAAAACCTCGCTAGTAGGCTGCAGTCGCGCCTAGCCCAACCACCCACGCCGGAAGCGTCTTTTATGAGGCCCCCATCCTTAGCAACTATGTCAAAAGATCAATCTAACGCCTCTCATGTACCTCATGCAATACAGCCATCGACAATACATTATTCCCCTCAAGATATACAGACTCGAGTTAATCTTGAACACAACCATATCTTGGATCTCAACCAGTCGAGTTCGCTTGATGCTAAATATGACACACAGTTCGATGGGTGCTCAATGTGGTGGGAGGATCAATTTTCTCAGGTGAATCTTAATTACATGTCTTGGTTTCCAACTTTGGGTCTTGTGGGTGGAAGTGGAAGTGATCCCCTGCTTTCAAACGATTCCGCTGACGGTATGTTCGAAAGTGCTGGATCAACCCGTTAACCTACTTGTATATAACTAAGATGTAACTTTGCTTCCATAGTACGATAATAGACCTCTCATGAGTCATGCCTTTGAGTAAGTGACCTTCGTCCACTTCTGACATTTTATAATGCCAATTGAAAAGGTGCGCTCAGTCGCAGGTAAATATTGTGTGACGTCCTATTCGATCGCATATTTTGTCGATCCTTGACTCAAAACAAGTGGAAGGTCTTGGGTTAATTTAGTCCGGATAATACAGGAAAGCAGCTTGGTTCCGAGCCGGGTCTCCAAAAGGTGGACCTATTAACGAACTAGTAGCATAAGTTAAGCAAGATCCGAACTGTTTCAACTTCAACCCGACTTGATTTGTATCCTTTTATTCTTCATCTTTTCCCCTTTATAAACCCAACCTGAATTACAAAATTTAAAAAAGTCTTCTGAGAAACTCTTGAAACATCCCACTCTCATACTGCCAATATCACCCACCAATCGAGCACCAATTTCCAGCCGCAGTTATGGGACCTATCAAGCACAAGGCTCTGATCAACGTCGATCTCGGTGAGGGGTTTGGAAATTGGACAATTACTTCAGATGAAGACTTGCTTCCGTTCATTGACCATGCCAATATTGCTTGTGGATTTCATGCCTCGTATGCCCTTTCCTTCTTCTGTCCGACTTCCTAAATTGTGACTGCCAGTCGGTCGGAAATATTACGGGAATTTACCTTAAGATCGTGATTTTGACTCAAACATCTTTCTATTGGTAGTGACCCCCTCATAATGATGGAAACCGTCCGCAGCTGCAAGAAGCACGGCGTGAAAATTGGAGCACATCCCGGCCTACCAGATCTCCAGGGCTTTGGTCGTCGTGAAATGAAACTTTCGACGGACGAACTTACTGCAATCACTATTTACCAGGTTGGAGCACTCAAGGGGTTCTTAGACCAGGAAGGAGTACCCCTTCACCACGTCAAGCCCCACGGGATGCTCTATGGTATGTGCTGCAGAGACTATGAGACTGCTATGGCCGTCTTTAAGGGCATCCCCAAGGGCGTCAAGGTGTTCGGGCTTCCAGGTACTTGTATGGAACAAGCCGCCAGAGATTTGGAGCTGGAGTTCATCGCAGAGTTTTATGCGGATGTCAAGTACAATGCGGATGCTTCTCTCCTGATCGAGCGCAAAAAGAAGTAAGTCATTCATTTCTGTCTTCTTGTTGTTCCTATTATTTTCTAATGCAATCTTGCTTTCACTGTTGCAGGGCTTGGGATCTTGCTGAAGTCCGAAGACGCGTAACACAGCAGATGGAAACATGCACTGCTCCTGCAATCAATGGATCGACCTGTGAACTACCCGTCAAGGATTATCCCATCTCCATCTGTTGTCATTCCGACGTTCCCGGGTGCTTGGAGTTGGTGAAGGAGACAAGAGCCGCGGTCGACACGTTTAACAAGACTTACTTCCCCAACAAGTAGATTGTTATATATAGAAATGTATATTATTTTACGTTTACTGAATTGGAAAAGATTTTTTCCTAGATTAAGATGGGGTTCTCTTGTGCTGAGATCAACGTCTTTGCGCGAATGTATCATTCTGTTCTTTGTTTTCCTTGACGATAAGCCAACTGGTGTAAATCGTTGGAGCTTAGTATCTCATGTTGTTTTACTACCCCAAATACCCCAACCAAGGTGACCCCAAATAGCTTGGAATGGATGCTGACTGGCCATAGGTCGGATACCGGGAAACGTCGTTTGGAGTCAAATTGAAAATGGAGAATCCGACTGGATAGTCACTTCCTATCTTGACATTTAAACTCAACTCCAATTCAGTAGCCAACTCCATGCTCGTCGACCACCCAGACCCATATTTAAAGTGATAACGTTAAATGGGAAAGGGAGCGGCCATGCGTTGCGGGGGTATCACTTGGCGGCTTTCCCTCCTTGTAATACGGTGAGTTAGGTTTCAACAAAAGCCACCATCGGTTGGTGTTAGTTCGGTTTTATCCATGTTCTCCAGCCATGTATGATAAGGCATTTCCGAAAAGCTCTGTAGTTAATTGAACACTGTATCTTATAAAGTTGGAGAAGTCAGATAAGACAAACCTATTAAAAGCGATCATTTCTTGTTTTTATATTTGAACTCAAGTTTATACCCCAATCGAAACAAAGTACCGCAGAAATATATATACTGAGTACCCCTGAAGAGCTGAGTCGTCTCGAGCGAAGTAAAGATGGATGATCCTCTTCCCATTCCCGGAACGGTCCAGCAGGTGGATGTAGACCACACCTTGCGGCTGAGACACAATAAAGAGCAAGAAGATATCGTCCTGATTCCTCTCCCAAGCTCTCATCCTGATGACCCTCTCAATTGGTCCCGCTACCGCAAATTTCTAAGCAGCGCCTGCCAAATGGCCTGGTGTTTCTTCGCCGCTGCTCTCATTAGTGGTCTGTCATCCTCTTATCTCCTGATCTCGGAAGACACAGGTATTTCTGTGGCAGATCTCAGCACAGGGAATGGCCTCCTGTATCTCTTCATGGGATGGGGCACCTTGTTGACTCAGAACCTTGCGCAGGACTTTGGTCGTCGGCCGGTCCTGTTGGTTGGCATGCTGGGCTCATCGCTGTTGCAGATCTGGTCTGCGTATATGAAGTCGGTGGGTGAATGGTACGCCAACTGAATTCTTCTTGGAATTTTCATTTCACCCCAGGAAGCCTTGATCGAGCTCTGCATTGCGGATATCCACTTTGCCCATGACCGAGGCTTCCACATGGGTATTTATAACTGGACTTTGTGGTGCGGTGCATTCATGTCGCCTATTGCTGGTGGCTTTGTTGCTGAGAGGTTCGGTTGGAGATGGATTCAATACATCCTGGCCATTATTTGTCTCTGCTTCACCGTTGTAACATTCTTCGGCTTTGAAGAGACGATGTTCTTCCGCCAAGTTAATATTCAGGAACCGATGTTTTCATCCCCCAAGAACATCAGCGATCTGGAGGGCTCCATTGATACCGATCGCAAAAGAGTCTCCGAATCCAAAGAGCCAGAGTGTCCCGACATCACCCCTGTCGTCATGGAAGAGACTTACGAGATTAAAACATACACCCAGAAGCTGAAAATGTGGGGATTAAGACACCCTTCTCAGCCCTTCAATTTCTTCCGGTCCACTCTTCTTTCCTTCCGTCTTTTATTCTTCCCCACGAACATATTTTCCGGCCTTCTCGTGGGAAGTATTCTCGCATGGTACAATGTTCTAGGGGGGTCCTTAGCGGAAGTTCTAGGCGGTGCCCCTTATAATTTCACCACGGAGCAGATTGGTCTTACCTACTTTGCCAGTGTGATAGGAGTCTCGATTGGATGCTATTTCAGCGGCTGGCTGAGTGATATCCTTGCAATCAAGCTGGCCAGAGGAAGAAAAGGTATCAAGGAGCCTGAAGACCGTCTCTGGATGTTCTTGATTGCCCTCGTCGCTCATCCTCTGGGGTGCATTCTTTATGGTGTTGGAGCAAGCCACCACATTCCATGGATCGGAGTCGTCATCGGAATGGCCTTCATCTGTATCACTCTACCGATGGGATCTGGCCTAGCCATTACCTACATTATTGACAGTCAAAAGGAGCTGGCCGGAGAGTCAATTGTGACTGTTATTTTGATCCGTAATACAATTGGTGAGTTGAAATGTCTTGCCAAGATCTATCAATATTCTTCAGTGATCTGACAATACTTTGCTAGGTTTCGCTTTTGCATACGCGGTCAATCCCATGATAACGAACATGGGACTGCAAAATACCTTTATTCTGATAGCAGTGTTGGGAATGGTTTTCTGGAGTGGTTGTTTGCTATGGATCAGAATTGGAAAGTCGGCTCGGAGATCCATTGCTAAATCCTACTGGAATCTAGTTGAGACCCACGGACTTGCTGCCCACTAAGCTTGTTTTTGGGTCTTTTTGGAATGAATTTTAGCTTTCAGGACGACGGCTAGTATCGCACAAAATCCTACAGAGTAAATATTTCAGTGATCATTCTATGCTCTTGCAGGGCAACAGGCGGATATTACCTCTTGCATTAGTATAGAGTATTGATCATGCAATCCTTGCCAACTTGGCAGATGTTGAGCGAGGGGTAACAAATATGATCTCTTCTTGCTTCTCTATATAAAATGGCACAATACAGACTCATTCTTCAATCTAGAAGTCTATAATAGAACGCACATGGCCCTTCATCCTTGTAGGCAGGTCGTTCCAATTGACTTCAAGTTGCCTGAAACCCTTTGTCATCCAAAATTGTCTTCAATCCCTCTCTTGGCATCCTCCGGCCATAACATCTGGCGTCTTGCAACTGCAAGAATGGTAGCACTTCCCACACCCAACCACATTATAACTTGCAACACAGTCAGAACCGAAGCGACCCACAAGATAGCCGGTGACTGCAACACCTGCCCGATGCTAATTGTAGCTATAATAAATCCCGTATTGGGGAATACCATAGCCCAATACGCAACCGACATAGGAGGAGCCCCCGTACCTCCAAACATTCTAGTAGAAGCCAAAACACTAATAGCAGCGACGCACAGGTGGAAGAACGCCATCGTCCAAACAAAAATAGCAAAGAACGAAGCAATCACCAGTGCAATATCACTAGTGCTTACAGTGACGTTTTCGGCAGATATGGGATCTGCGTATGAAATTATATATCGCGATGGGAAAGCTTTCACCCCCTCCTTTGCCATTCCAATCAATGCAAGAGCAGTAAAACTCCACGGTCCGACAGCAATAAACATCTGTGGCCGTTTAGCCCGTTCTGGAAGACCGTGTTTGGCAAGGAAATAATGGTATTCGCCGTAAATGAGTAAAGACATGATGAAACCGAAGCCTTGCAATGTAACACCTGCAATGAGAATAGGCAGTGCTTGGTCTCGGGGTTGAGTGCCCGCAATAGATGATGCAATCGTGCCGGAAAGCATGGCTGGGAAAGAGGGCAGTAGCTGGGCGATTGGAAAAGGTTGCTGGCTAGCCATTGTTAGATGGTACAGGTACCAGTTGTGGAATATCGCTGAGAGCGTGGAAATTGCGGTGTAGATCCAGAAGACGATTCGGAGGGCAACCTGGAGCCAGGGGCCGCAGGCGCTCGTTCCGTAACCTTCTGCTCCGAGGATGATAGTCGCGATAGCTAGTAGGAGTGTGGGCGCGTAATAACTTTCGTTGCCATCTCGGAATGACTCTTTGAGGGCGGTTGGTCTAGAAATGAAGCGTACGGCCATACATGCTGTGATCGCGAGAAAGACGGCCAAGTTGAAGATGTAAATAATCTTGCCGATGATCTCCAGTCCGGTAAATTGGTGAGGCGTGCGGGAGAGGAGAACAGCGATGCCTCCAGTAGCCATAGAAATTGAGTACCAACCCCATTTTATCAAACAGAGTCGGTCCTTGAGGGTCACCATATCGTCGAGAATCATTTTGGCTCATTTGAGGTTGGGAGGTGCATACTCGCAACGGATCGAAAAGTTTTCGCCGTATATGTAAGAGAAAAAAAAAATCTACATGGATCACACGATGGATCGATCACTCGACAACCAGTTTCAAATCTAGAAGCAACGGATTTTGTTGGACGAAGTTGGGATCCACAAGTTAGTTGTGTTTCGGCACTTCGGCATGCCGAGCTCGGGACACTCCAAGCTTGTTTTATGTGTCATGTCATTGTTTAAACTTTCTTCAATGGAAAAGGAATACTCTTAAATGGAAAGATAGAATTTGGTGCCGAAACAACGGTCTCTACATCCACACACAAACCCACTCCAACTCGCATTCATCGTTCGGGGTGCCTTACCTACGCTAAGCATTCTCACACGACCTCCTAGATAACACCCTCCTGAACAACGGCCTTGGCGATACGCATACTTAACCAGCATAATTCCTCAAAAGCCGAGAAACGTGGCTCGGTTGGGTGTTGAAGAGGGGGGGGGGGGGCTGTTAGTGCATATCCCATCACCTCATGCAGCTGGGGCTGATAAAAATAGCCAACAGGATAACAGAAGCCATTTCCATGAATATTGTCAAGTCAGAAGCTAACAAAAACAGTGTCACGGCTGAGTTGGGTGGTTCTAGAACATGTAGATCTTAGACTTAATTCCGGGCATTAGGTAATCCCGGGTTCTCCTTGTGGGGTCTTTTTAAGTATACACTAAGGCGATAAAGCCTTTGATATATAAGGATATTTGGCAGCTTGTATGACCTTATTATGTCTTTTTAATACCCCTTTTAGATATTACGAAGGCGGTAAGAAGTATACTTCATATAAGAGACTTTCCTATGTATAATTAGGGGTATCAATCATACCCAGGAAGGTAAGGAAGGGTTGGGTATTTGGCGTGTGGTTTATGTGCCGCCATTAGTCGAACGCTGATATAGCGTCGCGCGACTAGACCGAGTCGGACGATGTCTGCATTGACCTGATAAAAAAAAATGTCAAATTAATGAAAAACACTGGGCAGCTTGGCATCTACAACAACAGTCGAGAAGGATCGAAACAAAAGTACTTCCGGTTAATTAAACCTAATCCGTCGTGATCACTCACGACTATTTTTTATTAAAGAGTCTAGGCTTTGAGAAACATCACATATTAGATTTTAGCGTTAGGCACCTATTTCCAGAAACCTAGAGCAAAGATGGTGCGGCACGAGCTGGTCTTTGCGCGCATCACATTCCCGAGCGATGAAATCGGCCATCAAGAATGGTGGCAGTCAACCTCCACCTTCTGTCAAAGCGTCATAATGCTGACCAGGATCAAACATGGATGTCGCTCCTTCCAACGGAAAATTGAAACATTGCCCGATTCCCACAGTTCAATAATCCACAATGTTAGTATTCGGCCATCCAGCACCAACGCTTTCCAAAGGCACAATAATTAAGAGATAGTTTTTGAGGGCCAAAGCCGGACCCCGTTACAAGAGGCTTCCTCCGCCAGGCTGAGCGCGATAACAACAAAACAAGTCAAAATGAAACACACCAGTTTGCTTGCTACAAAAGCCGGGTGGAACCAACCAGATAATGATTCTGACTCCTTTATCGCCAGTATGCTGACTAGTATTCGTTAATGGTCTCGGCTTGCTTTTTGCAATGTGTTAGCCCTTTTTTTTTTGGCAGTGAACAATATGTGTTTTTTTCCTGGATGTTAAGGAATGTTAAATAGTGACAGGTTGATAAAAACCCCATTCTTATTCCGCATATACCTTGATCGCTGCCATGTTTTGCTGAAATACTTGACATACGCCACGGTTCTTCGGACCCCGCTGATAAGCTCAACCTTGTAACTGAGCTATATTGAAACTGCGAAAGCAATACTGCAATACATTTTGATTCAAATCATCCTTCTCACTCAGAAATTCGAGCACCAAGGTACCAGCAGATTGCGGACTAATCTGACTACCACGAATATGAATGGTGATAAAGTCTTGGGATTATAGAGGGAAATGCCTTGGAGCTATAAAAAAGAGGGATATTAAATAAGAACAAATTAGCACTGACGAGCATTCTTCAAAAGAAGCTCAGTTCCTTCCGGCCAGCCAGAAGAATTCGCCATATCCAAAACCGTCGTACCAGTCTCATCTTTCTGAGTAACATCAACCTGACCACCCTTCTCAATCAACAGCTGTAACAACCTAAGATCACGGTCCTCCACGGCCTGCATGACCGCGTTCCAGTCACGGTAGCATTTATTGGGATCAGCGCCCCTTTCGAGAAGAAACTCGATCATGGCAAAGTTACCATCGTCACATCTCCGGATCGCCTTGACGAGTGGCAAATGCTCACCAGGGGCATTGGGGTCGGCACCAGCCTCGTCCAGAAGATAGCGCACAATAACCCAGTGACACTCGCGCAAGGCTGTTGTCAGTGGTGAGAACACGCCGCCGTTTTTCCACTCTACGCTGGCGCCGGCTGCGATGAGTAGTTTGACGTTTTCTAGTTGGTTTGCCTGGACTGCTTTCTCCATGACACCTTTGTGTGCGGAAAGATCCGTTATACGGGGCAAAATAAGGCGTAGCATGCTCGGCGATTGAGTTGCCATGTATATTGGCCAGTCCTTGCCGCGTAAGTTGGGATCAGCACCATTTGCCAATAGCCATTCCAGCATATCTGGGCGGTTCTTCCGGATGGCAGTTGTCACGGCTGTGTGGCCCTGCTCAGTACGGTCGTTTGGATTGGCGCCTCCTTGGCCCACGAGCCAATGCAGAGCCTCCATATCGTTTTCCTGCACGGCGCACTCGACGATACCTGGTGGTTTGCGGAGATCTGCTCCGGCTGCCACCAAGTCTGGGAGGAAATGAAGACGTTTATGGGTGATACACTTCCAGGCTGGGTACTCAGATGCCATCACGTTGGGGTCAGCGCCGTGATGGAGAAGCAAGGTGAGGATATCTAGGCGGTCATCGCGGATGGCGGAGCAGAGGGGTGTGTATATTCCATCTTTCTTGGAATTCGGGTCCATACCCGCCTGCAGCAGGACGCGTACCGCATCGATATTGTTGACACCCGTCGCTTGCTCCATAAGACCAGGGGTCTTTTTCACATCGGCGCCCCGCGCGAGCAGGATGCGCAAGCAGCCTGGGCGGTGAACAGCGGACCAGAGGACATGCTCGGGTCCTGGCAGGTTTGGATTCGCTTCTTTGTTTAATAAGACTGTCACGATAGATGGCTGATCACTTTGTACAGCTTCGCATAGTGCGGTCTTGCCGTGGTCGTCTTTACGATTGGGGTCAGAGCCGGAATTGAGCAAGGCTTCGATAGCTTGCAGCGGTGCGCGTTTGCGAATCGCTTCGATGAGTAACGTTGTGCCATCGCGCGTTTCCTCTTTCAGATTGACGCCGTGCGCCAGCAGAGTCTCCGTTAGCTTGGCGCTGGCAGCATCGTGACCCGAATAGCTGAGGCTGATATCCTCGGCAGAAGCTGTTGAGTTTGGTTTGGCCGCCCGGTGCGGCAGTTCCTGGTGATCAAAATATGGGGTTTTCGCGGTCTCACGAGGCTGGGGGCTCAAAAAACCATTCAAGGACAGAATGGAGGACATATCATCTGTGATAATTTCGGCTTCTTGGCGAATGCCTTGATTGGGTCGGGAGGCTGTAAATGATTCCTTCGGGGGCACAGATGGCGTCGACCGCATTGAGTCAGGCGACCGATGCTGACTCGATGAGGATCGCTCAGGTTCGATAGACTTGGCCTTGTTTATGCCCATCACAGAGCGGCCTTTGGATACGCGATCGAGCGCGGCCGCTAGGCCAGCATATCCAATGCCTACGGACTCCTCAGGGTGGGCATCTCCGAGCGACCAGTGAAAGGCCATACCACTAATTTGGAGAGTTTCGGTAGTCTTCTTCAGCGACTCATGAATGCGATTGAGGTCATGGCCTGGCCGATTCCATCCTCGCTGAAGCTTTCCCAGTGTCCCGCGATGTTCATACTGAACAAGCTTCAAAATGATCTTGTCAAGTTGTTGGAAGTCGCGGTAGGTGGAGACGAATTTCTTTTCCACCTCTTCAATTATAACATCGGGTAGGGAGCGATTGGCGCCGGCTAGTTCGGTCACTCCGGCTTCAATGGCCCATAACATGCGACAGGTGTCGAGGAAGGTATGGGAAAGTTCGCGAAATCCGTCGGGGAGGTCATTGGTGGTGCTGAGGTAATTCAGCATGTGCACAGAGATCTGGTTGCCTAATTGCGTGGCAAGAGCCGAGATGCTGCAGATGTTATCCTCTGGCTTGGCCGGCATGATTGCAGTGAGAGGCTCACCTAGACAGAGAGGAGAAGGGAATACATAAAGGAGTCAAAAAATGAGAGTGGAGATTACCCAGATAAACATGGGGGGCAATCTGGGGGCCAAATTCGGAGCCAAATCCTCCATCTATACAGTGGGGCCAAATAGCTAGGAACCTTAGAAATTACCGAAAATCTCGATCTGGGCGGTGTCCCATGGGTTTGTCTCCCTTAGTGCATGGTGGACCCATGGTTCAGCTGGATCATTGTATCTGAATCCAACCTTGGGCCGCCTGAAATCACCCAAATGTTTGTCTGTTACAGCGTTTCCCACATGCTTGAAATGGTTCAAACATCAGAAAATAGGAAATAAAGTTATCCAATATCTCCTAGGGACACCGAAAAGGAGAATTCCGCTTAGCCTCCAGTGCGATAAGGGAATGTGGGTTTAGATCGTCACTTAGGTGACTACATGTAGGTGATCGCTGCAGTTGAAACACATACATGCACAAATCGGAAGAACGGTGCATTGAAACCAACTTTAAATATTGGTAGTTGCCCTAGACACGTGGGATAAATGTTATCATTTGGTATCCATTAAACGTATTCTCCTATTCCACTCCCATATCAATATCCCGCCCACGAAACATTCTTGGGATTGGCGTTATCCCGCGCCCCGCTTAGCTTCCCATTGAGTTTCTGTACTGTTTGAAGCCTTAACAAGTGACTAAGATGTTTCACCATTGTTCCCTAATTGTTCCCTAATTGTCCCGCCCCTACTCCGTGGATGATGTCGAATCGGAATCGGAATCTTGAGTATAGCTTCGTCGCAGAACTTAAGACATATCTTTCGCAGTCGCATTCCGAACTTGTTGATTTCACAAGTGTATCGCATTATGAAGTTTGGTGTTCTCAGCCAGCCATAATTGTGGGGCTTTTGTGTATGGCGGGTCACACTGGCCCATCGGACAACGAGCATTTTATTGGTTGAGCAATTTCCTATGGGGTCTTTCTACCTGGCAGAAAACCAGGACATCCAAACCACTTACTGGTTTACTTGCTAGTAAAGCTACAAATTACTTAACCTTCTATATGTACTCTATATATGACTAGAGTGTGTATAGTGTAGAATGAAATGTAAGTTCTACAATCGCTTTTGGTCATCATGATCGGGGTTTTACACGTACCTTATAAAGTATATATTGAAGAGGGGAACGCTCAAGGCTGTATGCTCTGCGGCATACGGGCCGATTCAGCACTCGTAGTTCAGCTTCATACCCGACTTGCATACAAGGGAACCCAGGTGCACTGCCCCGGAAGTGGATTCAGAGAGGTGTAGGAGTGTGTATTCTCAATCTGTATCTATCTGCTACTTGAACTCATAATCTCAATGCTTACATAACAACACATGGTAAAAGAAGAGGCAAGGGCAAATGCGTAGTGGGGAGCCTATTTCCCCACTACAATATCTCTCTCTCTCTCCATATCGATGGTTTCGTATATAGCACTAAGCTGTTTTAAGAGAGAGATAATTTAATCTTAATATATAAGTAAGCAGATCGATATTAATTTATTACCTTATAAACAAATAAAAGGGAAAGTATATATGATGATCAAGGCAGAGGCGGAGAGCCAGGGGGTAATTAATTAACTGCTGAACCGCCCTAGGGCTCGTCCGATGAGCCACTATATCCCGCCGCACACGTGGATAAATCACGATTCTGAGACACAATGCTTTTTGAGTTTCTGGAATACCCCTTCCTTCACCATTCTGCCCGCCAAGCCTGAGTTAATTTTGAATTACACTCTGTAATGCATTTACGATAAAATGCTTGATATTTTATAAACCTATGTATTTCTGAAAGTTCAATTAATAGCGGCCGTTATATAAGAGTAACTATTCGTTCAAAAAAAGAATAATCGAGCCTATATGGCAAATACCATTAAGACCAGGACTTCCTAACTAAGTAGTATATTGTACGCAGTTGTTTATAAAAATATTAGATTACTAGCGCAAACTGATCGGCATGAATTGCATGGACATAATTGTTACGGAGGGGGTAGATACCTGACGCCCCACCCGTCGCCAGCTGATTATCAAAAAATGTATGATATAGGGATTGCTAAAGTGCTGATGCGCTTCACCTCACCGTTATCGCCTAGGTGAAAGAACAGTTCGTTTGTCTCATGAGGAAAGCTTTGTAAGATCTGTGCCTTATCTGGAGTACATGATAGAGATCGGTAGTTATATTTTGCCGTTGCTCTACCGTTTTTCTAAGATAGTTAGGAATCGTGAATATACTTTATCAGCTGGAATCAGCTGCAGAATCCGTGGTAGCGGCGTTGTGTGACACCCGGCCGTTTGAACCTCTCACGAGTGGGTTCGAAGATATCTCGACTGATCGCGGGAGTTTGCCACCTAAGGTGGCTTGTGATCAATACTATATTGCGATGGTAGTATAATGTAGTTGACTATCTATCTTTCTAGATCTAACCTTTACAGTTATACTATTTTTATTGTCTATATTTGGAATCTTCTTTCGAATTCAAGGATATTGCCTCCCCTACAAAGCCAAGCAATTCCCAGCTCCTAATTTCCGAGCCACTGTTAGATGTGCACTGCTGTGCACCTGGTGTTTTCTTACCGCATCCCGACGCTGTTAATCAACTTTTCCGGGACCAAAACAACTTAACTTCCTGCCAAGGTGTCACCATTATAAAGATATCGCCTGAAATCGTCGTCAAGTTTGGTGCATCTATCATTATTGTCGAGGCTAAGAGTACGATTTATGTGACGCATAATAAAGGGGTTCCGATGCCCTAAGGTTTCGCATACTATACGCACAGTCCAATTAATCGTGATATTGACGATCCCGGAAGCCTTTTATTGCCGGCAAAACACTCCATATAGCTGGAGACTCTTTTATCGTTCCCACGAAAGACTATTCAATTCTAAGCGGGACTTAACACGGCTCTCATCGAAGTCCATCAAAACAGGGTGCCAAAACGGCATATCAAAAGATTCCTTGGTGGAATGCTTCAACAATCCTACCGCATCTTGTTTGCACATAATGATCTCCAGCCTCAGAAAATCATGATAAAAGATGGAAGTATGGTCGCTATTATAAACTGAGACCCGGGGGGGTTGATATCCGGAGTACTGGATTTTGGTAAGGCTCTACTTATATGGGGCTGGAAGAGTGAATGGACAGACTACGTGGTGCAAATTCTTCAATTATATCACGCTGAATTCTTCATGTACTCTTTGATGGAGAAGCTATTGATTTAGCTGGCCGGCAGTACAGTCTATTCTGAGCTATATACAGCTAGAAGAGATAGATATATTCCCTAGCTCATGATATAAACTAGGAGGCAAACAATGAGCAAAAAGAGGAGACAGGAAGGAAAGATGAAAGTTACCGATTGTTTAATGACGCCTACAAGCCTGTAGCAAAAACCGAAGCTTGACTTTGAGGTTCTATAAATCAAATATTAGCGCACATTACGTGTCGGCGTCGTTGCTGAGCATGGTCTAGAAGAGAAAAATCTACAATACATACGAAGATGAAACAAAACGTCGGATAGGTGGTAAGCACTGATCCTATTTCCAAAGCACAAACGGCGATATCATCCTCATCGTAATGACTCAAAGTATATACGGTATCAAAAATTAAGAGGAACGAACGTCAAGTTTGTCATTGTTATTGAAAATCTGCTTGGTCAAGTCGAAGCTTGAGGGATAATATTGACCTGACTACCATGGATATTCCAGTCGACCGCCCAGACAGGGCACTGCATTATCACCTTCAAGCCGGAACCATGATACGATATTCTGGGCAGATTTGGAGAAGTTCTTGCCGCCTGTTGAAAAGCATCTGGCAAACAAACAGGAATGACACCGATCAGCTTGGTTCACCTTAGAACCTTGAAGTGTTTAGAATGTGATCCGCCCACTCCTATGTGCCGATCCAGGTCAAGCATAGCCAAATAGGGACACTTTGATGATCTTCAAGTATGGCATCGAGACGGCTCTTGTCTTTGTTTTCGATGTAGTTGATAGGGACTTTAGAGCTTCTCGCCATCGTAACCTTTATGGCGCACAGTATGACGGCTCCCTCCGTGAATCGCTTTTCAAGCTATGGTCAGCGACCGGCGATTAAATCATAACTAGGCTTCATACCGTTTCCATATAAGCACCTTGAATTGGTTACCAATACATACGGCCAGAGGGCGTGGAGTGCAGGTCTTCTGGCGAGAAGAAGCTGACAATTCTTACCAGAGATGAAGATGAATATTTTTTTGTCTTTTCCTGAAATATCTTCTGTTATGGAATTCTCCTGAACTGAAAATCATGATATCTATGGAGCTTTCACAAAATGAGAAATTATAAACATTGAAATCCCGACAGAAACGCTGCTGAGGAAGACATCGAAAGACATGGCCGTTATACTGAACATAGATAATGATAGAAGCTCTTAAGAAAGCGAGTCAATGCCTGCTCGCTTCACATGATTGATGATAGTACTGCAAGTTTCGTGGAAGCGAGCTTCAGTGATGTTCAACTGAGGATCACTGACGGCGTACAGCTCTTTTTCTTTAAGATCAATAAAGGCCTCAAGCGCCAAAACAGTGGATAACTCCCGAAGCATTATACAGAGAGCAAGATAAGGCGTAAACATGGCACCCCGAGTATTGGCGACAGAGAAGTTATCCTCCAGTGTAGCAATAAAGTCACTGGTGTTATCAAACTCGGCTCGTCGGGTATTGAGAAATCTCATCATAGCAGGTTTCAGAGCCCTATGATGCTTACCGCTGAAGTGCTTTTTGGTATTCGCCATAAAGGTGTCCGCCAAATACACATCGTTGCCGTAAGCGCGAATCTCAAGATAGAAGTCGTTGCTTATGCTCAATTCGAGCCATCTGGCGACTTGGCACGAAAGCTCGTGCCATTGCTGTCTGGCGGCATCACTGCGCGACGGGCGGGGCAAGTTTGCGTCGATCAAGTGGTGGAGATTGTGGTCTGTTAAGATGTTCACCACTTCGTCGTACCAATCATCGAAATCCTCTGCGTCTTCGAGGCGAGGCGAGAGCTTGGGCAACACGACCGGGTCAACATCGGGTAGACCCGTAGCTTGGTCGACTGAAACTTGATACCAGTTGCGGTCGCGTGACGCGCCTTGGCTTCCGATGCTCCCATTTGTCCCGTTGCCGTTGGGAGAAGTGAACATGGCCGAAGCCTCGCGCCCAGGGCGCTGAATAGATTCAGATGGAATTATGGCGAGGGATTAGGGGCACTTCTAATAATTTGATGAGGCTGATAACAGCAGGTGAGTCGCAGTTCAACAGTGGGGGTATGTTGTAATTGAAAAGACTTTGAACGAACATTAGATTTTTAAACCGATCTCCGATAGTGTGATGGCAATGTGGCTGAAACATGACAAATGAGGATGAGAGGAGATCGGGATTGTCTTACCCACAGAAAATCAAGCACCGCGTGTCCAACCAACTTTCAGTCTGGGGAGAAATCCAGTCGGTGACAGGTAAGATTATTATTTTATTTTTCACGACGTGTAACATTTCAGAATGGGCCGTAAATCCGAAGCAATATGAACCTCGCTTGGGGGGTCCCAATTTTCGCTATTTTAGCCCTCTCTCACGCATACCAGGTTTTTCCTCCGTCGATAACGTATATTTCACCATGGCAGTCATATATATCACGAAATCTCACGGTTATGACCGCTGGGCTCAAGTGCAACGCGTGGACTGACGGATTTAAGTGGGCCCCAACGCGTAATGTTATACAGTAAGTTTACCACACAATTATCACAACTATACCCGACTATTTATAGCGAAGGGTCTATCTTTTGATAGACTTGGCCTTAAGTTTAGAGTCGAGATGGAAGTAAAGGCGAAGGGAAATAGACCAGATTCTAATAGAAACTTTTCTCGCGCAATCTTCACTAATATCTAACTTTACTTCTTCAACGTAATGTACTTGGTCCATTCGCTCTTTAGTTAAACTGTTCATTAGAGGAAGAGGTTGCAATTGGATTAAACAAACCTCTTCCCGTCATGTATATCAGCGCTGGTTCATATATCGTGCCCCAATTTTAACTTAAAGGGGTAGTCCAACTATATGATTCAATGTTATCCATAGATGCTTTTTCCATTTCTCGTAACATAGATACTCTTGAGGTTGGTTCCGAACCTTGGCGCCGAAAAGCGGGTAGACCCGCACCGAAGTATATAAATCCCGTGGGATAGAGCAAATCCAATATAGGTTAACCTACTTTTGATCTTGTAGATCCTTTAGATGGCTGAAAGCTATGGCCTGCAATAAACCCGCAACCAATAAGGTCCGGGTGGGTCATTCTGACCTGATTTCCCCCAATTCTTGGATCCACGTGTAGGACCATCCCATACATGCTTGTTTGTTAGTATTGAATATATCATGAGTCTTCCTTTGCTTGGTCTCCCTCCCCTCCTTACTGGTAGTCTTTGCAACACAAAGACACTTGCATGATAGATAGTGGCGAAAGAAGCCAACTCCGTAAAATTGATCGAGCGAAGCGCGCAAATTTAACTGCAGTTGGTTAAGTAGGAGATGAGGCATCTGTTATTGCGCACATCATACTCAACTTGCAGACTACGTAGGCACAGCGCGTAACGATTGATAATTTGTAGGTATCGTAATATATCTCACTGAGTACTAGCAGATTTCGTCCTGAGCTAAGGAACGCATCAGACCGTCGTGATGATTGTACTCTAGCCTAAACCACTGTGGTATACATCGTGCATTGCATATTCTGCATCCTCCCATATCTTATACCCAACCATTACCGATTCCAAGGCTCGATCTCACAAAATGGCGTCCAAGGAGTGAGTTTCGGCATTATCACCAATGCCAAAAACAATAGTCGACTGTTAATCTCCTGTAGTAGTTCTGCGTCCACATCTGTGGTGGCATTAAGGCTCGCGCAACTTGTCAACTCTACGACAAGAAACGCACCAGTCTCCCAATAAACTTCGTTTGTTGTTTAACTGAGGTAGTTATAGCGGTTGTCGCGCGACTTGGGTAATTCTCGGCCATTTATCACACTATCTATGGCGCAGTCCTTTTCTACCCCGGCAGCATATCCTGTGCTGTATATCCCTCATTATGGTTTAGACAAGTACATACGACCATAGGGTGTGGAAAATAGGGCTTCCCGTCCGCTCAGCCGTACTCAAGCCACACGCCGGTGAGTTAGTAGTTGGGTGGGTGACCACCAGCGAATCCTCACTGTTGTATGTTTTTTTCCCGCTGTTTTTGTGATAGTTAATATATCCTGTGAAAAGAAAGAAGCATTTCATGAGCGAGATACGAGACGCAAGTGCAGTTCTTGTGAATGGGTTTAGCGTGAACGAAGTTGGTTCCATTCGAACAAAAACCATTATTCAAGATCGAGAGTCAATCATAAGCAACCTTAAATTGACTAAAACTAAAATAACCAGGAACCTTTGTTGAAAAAAGCAACTGGTTAAGTCCATGATAACCCGATATGAAACCAAATCCCGGGCTTCTCAAAGTAACATTGCCCATCCCGCCACATGTCTCTGTTCAGCCCCCAAGATTCCTATGTATCACCTGCTGGGTAACCAGTCACAGCTATAACGCTGAGGCATACTGGTTTGTCTCAGTGTGCTTTTTCAAGTGGGCGTCGGGAAATTGGAAGACTGGGCTCCTCGCTAGGAGAACACCCTCCGCCAGGCTTTGCGACTGTAAGGAATTAGTCCAGATCATCGCTGCGACCGGCTGGCACAGCGTTGATCTGGTACTTCTTCCAGGATTGAGAAAGTGATCAGTTAATTGTATGACCTTTTTTGGGACTAAGATAATGGCATACCCAGTGTTATTTTCGCTAAGCCCGTCCGCTGGCTCGGGGGAGACGGCGGGGAGAGTGACGGTCTCTAGGGATGAGAAAACGACTGGAGGCGTGGACCCACCAATATCAAAGGAGTCGTTTATATTTGGGAATGCCCCTGGGAAATTCCAGAGTACGAAGGAGGTATCGGAGAGGTCGTCGCTAAAGTCGAGTTAATGATTTTATTCTCATTTTGTTTGCTTGGAGTTGCATCCCTAGAGATGGGCACCCAACCTGGAGTGGTCCACTAGAAAGTCAGTGGTTTGGTTAGGTATATATATATCTTGGACCGGCTACTTGATATTAGCTAAAGTTACTGCCAATCAATCATAGCAGGATGTACCTGTAGTGGTAGCAGCCAATGCCACAATAAGAGATACAATAGTGAACAGTATAATAATATATCAACTACCAATTTAAGTTGAACTGAGAATATAGATAGGGAATAGCCCAACGACGTAAGATAATTTGCGTTTTTATAGAACCTGTGGTTATAGTGATATGAAGCTCGTGTGCCGTAGGCTGTATATAGGCGACGATATCTGATTATAAGTTATACTCAATAACCCAACGTTGGGATAGACCTGTCCTAAGATACGAAGTGAAGTAATTGTGAATATTTGAGCGAGAACAAGAGATCCTTGGTCAAGCTGTGACCCATCTATAATATCGTAGCTTGGAGAGCCTCACGCATACATTCCTGCCACCTTATGATAATACTCTAGTTCCCTGTGCTCTTAAGATCGGTAGTTTCTAGATCTACTTATGCTAGATATCCAGTCGACAGAGATGAGAGCTGCTACGAAGGGGGGCTACCGCATCACATTGTATGGTGAGATATCGGAGCTTTTCCCGCTAGAATCAAGTATCCCCTGGGAGGTTGATTAATTTTATCAAATGATCTTTCTAGTAAAGCTGTAAGGCCCTCAAGTTCATTTGGGGTTCCCCAGTCGAAGTTCAAAACATAACGTCCTATAGGCTCAGCCTTGTCTTATATACGAGCCAGTTTACGGCGATGTTACACAAAAAGGTTCGCTTCCAGCAAGCAGTTTTTGAGCTTGCCTATTTGGATGACCTACGGTAATATCCAATAAAATGAAATAGGCGCACAACCAAGTGACTCGATTTGTAAGCAGTGCTAGGATCCATAAGTTCAAAATCTCGTGTAATTAACTCAATGAACCGTTCCTTGTATATGACCGAAGGTAAGAGTCCACATAATAGCACAACAGTGGGCTCTCCAGTAAGAGACTAACTTCCGATATGGTTTGCAAGAAATACGTTAGAAACTTGATTGTATGTCCCGTCGTTAGGACATACGACTGGACTGAAGTAAAACCGGCTCTCGAGATCCTCGGTTTAACGGCTGGCAAACTGAATATCGAGGGATAGCAGTGTTAGAGGCGAATAAAGCGGCAGGTAGAACTGACAAGACATTGCCTGCTCACTAAGGTGTGTAGAAATACGAATTCTATAAGAGAGTCTGACAATGTAGGAGATCCTGCGGTTCTCTCCTTTCATACGCGATCATACTCCGAGCTATGATTATCTCTCACTAGCATCATAGCACATACGACCATAGGGTGTGGAAAACAGGGCTTCCCGTCCGCTCAGCCGTACTTAAGCCACACGCCGGTGAGTTAGTAGTTGGGTGGGTGACCACCAGCGAATCCTCACTGTTGTATGTTTTTGTTTTGTTCAATCATGCTCATTCACGTCTCTCTCTTTCTTATTATTTAATGTGTTTTGTCCATGGTGTTTGTTAGGTGGGGCAATCGACGTACGGGCATATTTCCTCTATTGGCCAGACATACCCGTCTGCGGTATTGCTCGGCCTAATGTATCTACCCGGCGGTATCTGAAGTTATATAAAGGGAGGCTTCTTCCCCGAATATAACAGTAGAAACCAAGCTTCAGGAAATAATCCTTTTATTCACGATGTCTAGAAAGTTGAGAAATAACTAGTAAGCCTAGAGGGCCAAGGAGGCCTTGAGAAACCCCTATGCGTAATTTCGAACACTTGCACCCACCGAAGTGAGTCCTAACTCCGAATCCTAGGAAGCTGAATCCTTGGGATCGCAATAATTGAAACAGAAGACTAGCTGAGGTCAAAGAGGTAATGCGGTTAGGCGAAGGGCGAGACGTACTAGAAAGCGAAAAGGAACGCAGGGGACCTAATAGAGCTCGGCGCGAAGCTGAACCTAGCCTGAACCTCCATGGACCCTAGGAGATTCGCCTCAACCACCACCCACAGTGAACCTCCAGTGCAGCGCGCCTTTCCTAATATAGATGGATAAAATTGATGAATCGTCCTAATCATTTACGCTTGTTTTGATCCGCTATCCTAATATTATTTCAATTTCTTAGTTCCAACCTACTGAAACCTTGGTCGCTGGTGACTGCTACTTCCTAGATGGATGTGTGCATATATATATATGCAAAGATGACGAGCGTTCAGAGGGAGGGTAGTATACTAGACGTTAATAATATATAAATATTATTACTATATTTCCTATGAAATTGCATATTTAAAGATCCTATTTTTGTTGTATGAAACTAATATGAATAGTACGCATTGATTAATTGACATGTATGGGGTGGGAGACGAATCACGAAAACATTTGCGGCGTGGTGGCTGTATATAGATAGCCCTGTATTGCCCGCTTATATAAGGTCCGTGGGCAATATCCACCCGCCTGTCTATAGACCATGTCGTAGTCTAGCACTATGTATTATATGATATAGGGCAAGGGGGAGTTTACCCGACAAGTTGAAAAAAATTAAAAACATACAACAGTGAGGATTCGCTGGTGGTCACCCACCCAACTACTAACTCACCGGCGTGTGGCTTGAGTACGGCTGAGCGGACGGGAAGCCCTATTTTCCACACCCTATGGTCGTATGTATCATATAACTTGATTGAGAAGACCATATACCTCAACTGGTTTAGAATCACTTGTAAGCCTAGCATCGTGTGGCCGGGGCGATAGGGGTGAGTGCACTATAGATAGGGTGAGAATAAGGGCTGCTGCGCTGATCCCCTCAGGTGTGACATAGAGCGTGATATGATTAGATTACAAGTTACACCTCGGACACTTAATAGCTTGGCTATCTTTTGCTAAGTACCCGCATACTAAAGCATGGTATACCCGAAACTTGTGAATAATCGCTAAGTCGGTTACCAGTGATAAACAGTTCCGAGGATTGTACAGGCAACCTAATTGTAATGCCAATGTTAAAATTTCGAGGAAAGAGGGCACAATAAGATGCCTCACATTTTTCTTGGCCTACATTGCCAAGGAACACAGCACATCGGGGGCGGGGGCTGATACAGCATGCTGAGTTATCCTACAGCGAGCGGAATGATTCGAAATACAATATACTGGTACACCGAATGCATTTCAGGCTAGTATAATTAATTTCCCACGCGATTGATACCAATACCAGAGCTAAGGACAGGACCTTTTTCACGCCGGAAATGTCAAGAGAAATTGAACCCAGTGACCCCACAGAAGTCAGCCCTGGGGTGCATATAGACGACGCCGTCATCCTGCACCGGCTTAGGCGGGAAATCACGAGGCGACGATCTACCATGTTGATCATAAAGCCTGGTCATGTTCCTGCCCTTCGATGGGTTAAATGTACGCGGTATTAGTAGCCCTAGAGCTTTTTCCTAGTAATGAGAGCATAAGATAACGGTATCGGGTCTCACTTGGGTAGATAAAAGCTACGTCAGAATATCAGAATTGCTAACTAGAAACCAAAAACTTCACTCTTTGTAGAGAAAGCAATTGAGGCTGGCTAAAGATCATCGCTCATGCTGAGATTCTGGGGCGCTGATCGACAGCCACATACAATCAAGGCTGAATCCTTGCCTACCCCCAGAAGAAAACTTGCCCCAGGTAACCCTGCACTGTTTTTTCCTGTTCGGGACGGGGCCGTAGGGACGTAGGGGTATAAATAGGAGACAATATCCCCTCCGCTTCATTCTCATCATCACACAATCATCAGCCAAATCAGTCCAACCTATCTCAATCTCCAACCCCTGGCTATTGTTCAATATGCGCATCATTTCCATATTTGCTGCCCTCCTAGCCGTTGCCTTCGCTTCCCCCAATCTAGAAGCCAGACAGCAGGGCGAAAGCTGTGAGGTATGTATCATAGTTGACCGTCAGTCAGGTGTGCAAGACATCTGACATATTGATAGGTCGTCCACGGAGCTTCATGCGCGTCCAAGTGAGTACTTTTGAACAGTAGGAAATCGACTCAAGAGGTCCTAATATCCATAGGGGCTTGGTCCAGTGTGGTTCTTCTTCCGGGAATGTCCGGGCCTGCTGTGTATGTTCTCTTAATCCCGACTACTATTGCTGCGAGCGGGAATTTCTAACTGCCGCAGAAACGCTGCTACTAAACGTCTTTCGTGGTGTGGAAGGAGCCAAGGATTGCCGCCTGATGAACAGTCCCAGCAAGTCAACACTGGATTACATGGCAATGAATGTCTCTAGGTAGATATACTTAGGATCAATATCAAACCACACACATAAAGTGTACGAAAAGCGGACGGAAAGTAGTCATAGAATAACTCCTCTGGATACTGTGTGTGCCCTTCATTGTGGGACATTTCGATTTTCTCCATTATGTTTGGTCAGAAGCGTACTTGCGCTACACATCTATTTAGTTCTAGTTACGAATACACAGCTATGGCATCATGGACGAAGACAGTAGTTGGCAGACTGAAAGTCTAGTTAAATTTGGAGCCGTGGACGTACGTCCGCCTGAGTTTCAAATCTCCAGCAGGCCTAAAAACTTAGCCTTCTGGTCACCTAAGCCTGATGTAACTACTATTCTCTTTAGTCTAGATCAATGGCAAGACCACGGTCACAGGACCCGTACCTGCGACCATCGGAACGTATTTCTGTGATTGATCCAACATCGTATTAAGCATTCGCGTATAGGTACGACAAGAAACATTACCCTCTTGCCAAAAAGATGGGATTACCTTTCCTCTGGTGACCAATAGCCATAGAGCGTTACATTAAAAGGGCCATCTAGCTAGGGCTTAGTCTAGAATTCACCTTATTCTGTGGAATATGTTAAACTCATTCCCGAGCCGTTAAGGTCCCAACTTTATTTAAGAAACGCTGGTTTACCCAAGGCCTAGAGGGTAGTGTTAGGGATTTCCTCAGTAAGTTTTGGTTATAACTCCAAGTGTTTGGGACGCTGAAGTTAGTACGCGACGATAAAGCATGGATAGATTTGGATAGACGTTAGTTGGTTTATGACAGACAAAGAATGGAATAAGAAATGCCTCGAGTGGATGACACTGGGCTTCAGCGGCTTTAAGAGGAGGCGAGGGTAATGGATGAGCGGAACAATCGTTAGCAAGGCACGAGGCGGAAGAAAACGCAAGGCTTGAAAGACAGGAGGCGCTAGAGGCGGAGAGGACTTCATAGGTGTGAACTGCTTTTCTCGGAATCAGTAAAATAGTAAATAAGAGAATCTACATCCATTTGGTATGTGATAAACCACTCACTTCATCGGATCCATATATGCCAGAAAATTCCGGTGTGGTTTAAAGAGATTAACAGACCTCTAGGCCACTAGCGCTGCCCCCCCCCCCCCCCCCCCGCGGAGGCTCACAATAGTCTGGTGGCCCGGAAAGCTTGTCAGCTACCAATTGCTGTATAGCAGGAGAGGGGGTTATTTGAGTGTAAAAGATAGTTTGAGGTAGTTTACTTTAAAATGAAATTTTCGGCTAGTTTTAACCTGCTATATCCTAATATAACGTGTTTTTCTGTTTGGAAGCTAAGAATGAGGTAAATAATAAGTATATCCATTCAAATCACTCCATTTAGCTTTTAGTCCGGCTTAATAGGATGCTTATAGATATAACGACTTGTAATTACTTAAGACGCGGGGATACATAATAAAGAACCTAGCCTTTTATGCCGAGTATAAAATATTTGGCTCCACTCCGGCTTGATTAGATACTAAATTATCACGGATATAACGCCTAGTATGTATCTGCCGAACGTGCGGGGATATAAAATAGGGAAGTTGGCTTTCTAAGCCTAACCAAACTCTATAGACTTTATATGGCACTATGTCCTATATTATCTTATTATGGCTAGGAATAAATGAGTGGTTTGGAAGTGTTAGAATAATCGTGTTCTAACTGTTTGTTCGCATTACTAGGCACTGAAGCTTAAATGTGATAGAAGCCGGCAAGTGGCCTAAAATTACTACTTGGTCATTCATCACGAAAATGGAGAGCGAGCGGGGCTATTAGTGCCATTAGTGTTAGCGATGTGTATGATACGTAAGCTGGTAGCATTAGTAGGTGCTTTCGTATACATGATCATAGTAATGCACCAGATAGACCGCCGGTAGAGCCTATCAACTACACACAAGCTTAGTGTTTGCTATACAGTTTGTTTCAATCCAAACTATATAAACTAGCTCGCTTCGAGGTTCCTATCGCTTCCTGTTGAGAAACCCAGGAATATCAGAAGGGCACTTCGATTGTAAATATAAATCGAGTCATGTTCCGTGTCTCCACATTTCTATAGGGAACGAGAGAGTATAAGGCGGGGGAAGCAAGTCGATGGAAATGAAGAAAACGAATTTTGTATCTCAAATGTTATACTACTTTTTTTGCCTATCTGTATTGTGGAGACGATATGTGGGCGCCGGCTTGATGATACCAACTACCAAAATAGAAGGTCGAGGTTTCCAACAGAAGATTAAGCACCCATTTTTAAAGGTAAAGAACAAAAAGTCCAAAGTTCCACCATAGTCCCTCAAACTAACAAATTAAAACAAATACCCTAAAAACAAAAACATACAACAGTGAGGATTCGCTGGTGGTCACCCACCCAACTACTAACTCACCGGCGTGTGGCTTAAGTACGGCTGAGCGGACGGGAAGCCCTGTTTTCCACACCCTATGGTCGTATGTATCCTGTTCAAGGTAAGAAATAATTATGAGGTAAAATTTACTGACTCGAAGATAAGGTTGAATGAACCATTTATGAATTTATAGGCGCCTTGGTTGAGCTTTTAGGAGCTTAGATGGAAGAATCGAAGGACTTTGAGGGCACAACGAGAGCCCAAGCTTCAAACTTGCATCGGAGACAGTAAACAGTATGAATATGTTTTCGGCTGCTCGACTTTGCGCCGTCATATAAATAATACCATATACTAGTGAGGTATAACTTAAGTACATGCCAACATATTCCTAACTAGTTCATAAGCAGACGAGATGCCAGGATCCTTGGCATCATGCCCGGGTCGCAAATAGCGACTATCAAAAATCCACAGCATAAATGCCGGAATAGGTTGATTTGGATCAGGTGAAACTACGACCGCGGAAAGCGGTGCTAGGAAGAAAGAAAATATTATATATCGAGGACGGAATAGCTTGTCTGTTGACTCATTTGAAAACAGAGTTCATCGTCGCTGCCGTGGATAGGAAGCACGAAATATTTTGCCAATGGTTTACTTACACTCGCAGCAATCCACCACGCGACAAAAACGGAATATGAACCCCGTCGTACAGCTCTGATAAGCGCAGTAGAGCGATATCAAGGTCGAGCAGTTGGTATGCCGGCACGTATAATTGGCAATCTGACTAGTCAAACTCCAATGCACGTCCTGTCTGTCAACTATTCTGGTTTTTTGAGAGGATAAGACGGACGAGGAGAAGTGTTGGTGGTAGGGTCATTTTGGCTTTTTGGTACTCTGCCTCAATTTTTGAGCTTGTCAGGGAGCTTAGGCCAATTGCTTTTGTGATTTTAGCCCATTACCGTCCTATTTTGTATCCTATTTCAGAGAAATAGTGGATTTCACCATGGAATTAGAAAGTACTAGCAGCGATATATAAAAATTTGGAAGTGAAGTCGAGGCACTTCATAAAATTGCCCATCGGCTTCACACCTTGAAGAAGAACCTATCAATCGACAAATGGTACCAGCCAGAACTTCTCAGCAGAAAAGTGAGTGCATTTCATTCGGAATCACAGTTGCAAGTACGGAGGGAAGAGAAAGGGAGTGGCTCCTCCGTTCTGAACCCAGCAAGAGACGCAAAAAGGAAATGCGAACTTCTGAACACTGCACACACTACAACTGAATCCTTCCAGATCGTCACACCAAAGTACATTTCTTGATATTAAACGAAGGGGAGAGACAACATAGACATAAATAAAGCTGCGTACAAAAAAGATGCCGAATAATTAATTCAACTGCTTGCACTTGACGCAAGTATTACAACGATACCTTTCTACCAAGGCAGAATAGAACCATCATAATTTTGGAACGTGCCACTGGTCTCTTTAGAAGCCACATCGAGGGTCTTCACCATTGAAGACACGCTGGTCTCGACGGAAATACCGCCGAAATCCGAGAGCTTGATGCCTAACTCTTCAACAATTGACTGAGTAAGGTCCGTCTCCACCAGGCCGGGATGGAAGACAAAGCTCGTCAACCAAGGCTCCTCAAAGTGAAGCCGACGGACAAACCAATTCAATGCCGCCTTACTCCCGCCGTATGGGCTTTGAGTGGACGGGAAGCTTGCAAGGGCTTCCATAGATCCAATAGACCCAATAAGAGTTGAGATTGCGACGAAGATAGGGCTCCCAGTCTTGCTAGCCTGAAGAAGATTGGCAGTGGCCTGGAATAGTGTCACAGGACCAGTCGTGTTCACAATGAAATGTTCGGCGATGCTTGCAGCGGTTGTCTCCCGGACAAGCGTGCCACCTACCGAGATACCCGCATTGGCAATAACGATATCGATAGAGGACAGACCGTGTTCGGTCTGGAGCTGTGCCACCGCTTCTGCGGCGTCGGTGCTGATTGAGGAGTCAAGCTTGACAGTGATCAACTTAGACCCAGCACCCTTTGGGAGGTCTTGGAGGCTCTTAGATGATGTGCTCGACGGATCTCGGACAGCCGCAATAACAATGGTGGCAGCCCTTTGTAGGAATGTCTGGACAAAGCCTCGTCCAATGCCTCGGTTTGCACCGGTGACAAGGTAGGTAGTTGGGGCAGTCATTGTGAGAAGAGATTTTGTGTAAGAGAAGTCGCTTTGATCTGAGGAAGTTTGGATATGTACAAAATATTTCTTTACGCGGAGGTTACGTATATTTATAATTACGTGGAAGAAGGAATATCTAGACACCAAGAGATCGCCTTTACCGTGTATCACACCATAGCTCGAAGGACGTGATGATTCAACATTATTTCTGACCATCCGCTTTGCTTATCAATCAAGACGAAGTGGTTTTACCCAAGCCTTGTGGTTAGCCGGCTACGGCTACGCAGGTGTATAACGGCCAGGGGTCAGATGCGGTTTGTAAGAGTATTGGTGCCTGAAGGTGCCTGGTATCCGACCCCTGACCGTTATACACCTACGTACCCGGCGGCTTCCATCAGGTTCCTAGGTCAAATGGAGGGTGCAAAATAAGTATGTTTCACACCCAAGAAATCCAAGTATTCTGGGCTCCACCCAACTCTGGCTGATACTCGGGTCTCGGTACAATAACTACCCGTCACCTGCTCCACAATCACTCTCTATCCAGTGCGGACTCCGTAGACCTGTTGATATCAGTATCCGGGATAGGTCTAAGCAAACCATCAGGAAGTACTTCGTGGCAAGCCGGATAGCCCCGGAAACCAACACGCAAGTCGCACCATCCCGTTCTAATACAACTAAAAGCGATGTTGTTTCAACTCTCGCTCTACCCATCGTCAAAATTATTTCTCTTTTCCGATAGGTTCTCACAATCGCGAGGATATTTTTGGCTTTCTAGAAGGGATTTATATGCTGAGTACTAGCTATTGCCGAAACACAGCATTATATTTTATACGAAGGGTATATCATGAGAAAGCTCTAAAACAAGTTTGCCCCGGGATTCTCCTTTGCGAAGTTTCTGAAGGCCTTCCAATACCCCATCAAATCCCCTTTCTGTAACAGTAATAGGTGGTTTCACATCATGGCCTAGATGGGCATACAACTGGCTTAGAACTTTGTGATTGTTAGGTACAACTGGGAACGGGGGACCCAATGGTGCCAGTAGAGAAAATTCGCCGCCAAAAGCAGTGTAAATCATGAGTAATTCTTTTTTATAAAATGTCTAGCTTTTTCGGCTTGCCTTGATCAAGTAGAGTTATAACTCGCCCTTTTGATAACACCTCCGCGCAGAATTGAGAAGATTTCCCTTCCGAAAAGCAGTCCAAAGCCTTAGTGATGTTTGGATAGGCTTTGTAAATTTTGCTGGTCGCGGTGGATGAGTGGTAATCGAATACGACGTCTGCACCGTTCCTTTTGACAAGCTCAAAGGACCGTGGAGATGCCGCCACAACAACACGAAGACCACCCCGTTTTGCAATTTTAATAGCAAATAATCCTACATGAGAGCCACCCGAATAAATGAGAATTGGCGTTCTTTCAGATAATTTTGCTCTTGAGCCAGTGGAGATATCCTCTCAAGAGATATCATGACAGTGTAAGCACGGCAGTAGCTGCTGGAATTCCGTATGTGGTAGCCTCGGAATGGCTGATTGCATCTGGGATCTTCCAGGCGAGTTCTCCATCGCGTCACCACAGTCGGCATGATTACTATTCACTAAACATGTACATGCACAGGGCTCCTAGCCGCTACTTATCCACCCCGGATTTGTTTGGTGCCTTGATTTGATTGCTTCTGTGTTAAATATGTATGCCTGCGTGGAAACTAGTGTTGTAATATAGAAGAATTATATTTTCATATTCCGAGTGGATTAAGAAACTATTTTATAGAACATCAAGTCCATATTAATTGACGTTGATTGAAAATTAATTTAGTTTTCCCACACGAAGACTAAGCGATTATTTCCGATGAATTACTGTCTTTGGCCTTGGTTTGCATCCACAAACTGCATACGGAGGAGGGGTTTTAGAGACCTTCAATTGCGGAGATGCTTCGACTCTATAGCCCACAGAGTAGGATTTCTGAACTTGTTGATGATTAATCTTTGTGGTTTACTTAATTGGCTCGTCCCATCGGGTGGCACCTGGATCCATGGATGGGTGTCTCCCCAGGTCGCAAGTGGCATATTTTACGAGTACGAGCGCTAGTCCCGTACTCCATGTGTTTCTCCACCCGTGAAGTTTTCTAAGATTGGTAAGAAGTCATCGCCGCAACAACATTGTCACAATGAATAATTTATCCTATTTGAATAGCAAAGAATATGAAGCGAATATTTCAGATATATATTTCGCTTTCTACTCCCAAACTTGTTTAACGGGCCATTCAATATGCTGTTGCCAGTCTGGGGGAAGTAGTTGTTGAATTTCTCCTAAAACCACACGACCCCAAGACCCCACACACCAATTCTCCCGGGCCATGTGCAAGAAACCACAATAATGAGCCAGCACAACCAAGGAATATAGTTGCCTGCTTGTCAGATCGCTTAGATAGACCTCAGGAGCTCGAATAGCAAAGCCAGCAACAAGGGTCATAGACATAGGCTGTGACAATGTGAAGGCTGCCAGTTCGCGCGAAGAATTTATGACCCGCTCATAGACGGCGGTATTATGATGAGCAAATTGCTGCCCACATTGTACGTTCAATTTTTCGAGACGATCAAACGCAACGAGGACATGGTCAGGCCAAGAAACTTGTGGCGGAGTCGCGTTAAACAGCGGAGCAAAGTTGCCCTGCCGGAGAAATTCAGGCTCCGCACTAACGACCGCCTGCACTCCGCGGGAGAGGGTGAAGATTTCAATTAAGGAATTGAGGCTTGGGCCTTCGGGGGAGCCGGAAGTGAGTGCACTTCCTAGGCCGAATGCCACAACAAGACCGGCGAAGCTCATCATTGCTTTGACATTAGATCGGTCAATATTGGACAGTTGCTCCGAGAACATGGAGATGGCCACATTCTTGTGCGACATCGCGATACCCAGCCACTTCGCTTGGCTGTTGTCTGCGCGAAGGTGCGACAAATGTAGAGCGGATAGGCCCAATATGCCATGCATGAGAAAAGGTTCCTGTAAAGCCTCTTGCAAAACCAGAATTCCCCAGACCTTTCGGGTTTCTTCGTTGCGGGCAAGGAGTTTGTGGGTTTGCATGATCCACTGCAGCTCGAGTTCTAACTCCTCCATATTCAACACAGGACCAGTGGAAATCCGCGTCGATCCAATCTGGTGCAAAAGCGCCGATGCCTCATCTTCAGAGACGGAGGCAGCATTTGACGTCTGACCTGTGGTTGGAGACTGTTTATTGCGCGAGGGCTTTCGAGACTGTTTGCCCGCGAAGAAATAGGGAACCTCCGAGCTGTAGATACATTCTTCCTGTCGCTGGGTACAGATAGTGCAATTTGGACGTTGCTCATCACACTAGGTCTGGAGTCAGCGAGTGGGCGTTGATAAAGGGATGTATGTTCTGCATACCTTCACCCTCCTCCGCTTGCAATTAGTACAGCCATGGCGGGATTTGTTGTGCGACCGTCGATAGACCATCTCAGACCTTCATTTCTTCTGGTATCACAACGTTTGTTCTACATGGGTGCCTCTGAGAGAGCACAAAAAGATAGAAGATTAAAATTCAGCCTGAGCGGGTTGATCGCCAACGTCACCGAATGGCGGAAGGGGTATCTGACCCAGCCTTACTAAGCTATTCTGGAACTAGTTCTACTACCGCCTTCCTAATTTTTATACCGCCTTAACATTGATATAACTAGTTACCGCCTATTACTCCTTAGTCTTTTATTGGCAACCCGTGGGGAGCAAACACCAGACTTATCATGGCCGCTTTCTCATTTACTTACATCTATCCTGGGCTGGAGAGTTCAATTGGTCGAATTCACTGGATCTTCATGTGTTAGATAGCTAACACACATTTACCTCGTAAAGGTAAAGACCGTCGGCGTCATTTTTTATGGCTAATCAACGTGAATTAACAACTATATATCTAAACTTAGGTGTACCTGCATTTCTAGCAATTTATATAGGATTCTAACCAAGAGGTAACAAAGCATAAGACATACAAACTAAGGAAACATAGGTGGATCCATATCCTAGTTTATCCTAACAAAGACAAAATGCCTAAACTTGAAATTGTCCCTGGGCGCCCTAGCATTTTCGGCCCCAAAATTCTAACTAGAGATGGTTAGGTCCGACCCCTCCACGGAGTGACCACGTAACCTCGACCTGAGAACATTTACCTCAAACTCTTCAAGCTTGTTCCCTCGAAATTTCAAACATTAAATCCCTTACTTCAATATGGTCTACACCTTCTATGACGGTACCATTGTGGTAACCCAACACATCCTCGGCTCCCTGTCCCACTTTCTCCAACAAGCCGAGCAACACCCTAATGCTACCGATCTGCTCAATGCACGTCTATGTGAGGACATGTATCCAGTGACCGACCAAGTGCGCATCGCAACCCAATTCTCAGAAAATCTGGTCGCCCGACTGACCGGTCGGGAGCCGGTAATCACTGAAGGCAAACCCACCACATATGCCGAATGCTACGAGCGCATTGAAAAGGTGCTAAAAGCGCTCGAGGAGGCCGACAGGGACGTCGTCGACCAGCACGCTGATAAGCGTAAGCTCACTCAAATGGGTCCGGAGCAGGCCGCGGAAATCAGCGGTGCTATTTTTGCCCATACCATTGCCTTGCCGAATATTTACTTCCATCTTACTACCGCGTATGGCATTTTGCGGAAGGAGGGGGTGTCGCTGGGTAAACTGGACTATTATGTCGGGTTCTCTTCTCGAGGATTCGCTTAAGGAGTTACTTAGCACAATCAGTTGCCCATGATGTAACATTGAACTTGTTAAATTTAACCGAATAGGGTCTTAACAGTTGAACTTGGTTTTGCATGGATTCTTTTTATAGTAACACTCCGCAATTCTATTGCCAGACAACATATTTCCTCACCGTTTCAGTGGTCAAGGCACTCCGAGAATTGACTCAACAACGGCTGAGCAGACGGGAGGCCCTATTTTCTGCACCCTATGGTCGTATATACCATGTTACGCGTGAGAGCTAATTAGTCTGTGCAGGCTCCTAGAGATTGATTCAGGGCAAGTTGTATAGTCAAACAGTTATATATAAATTTACACCAATATCATGTAGGCGAGTGTCCGCTCCTGGAGTCAAGCGGATATCAAACTCGTGAGTACAGTAAAATCCGATCTCCAAAAGGAACCTCTGTCCCGTGATCCCGTTGTTCAAACGTTGCGGTAGATTGCTGGGCCGTGAGGTTTTCAACATCGGTGCCTCGTTTGTTACCCATGCCCCAAACTTGGAGCGGAATATCATCGACGCGATCCGGATCCTCCATAATTCCACCCGTAGGCAGATTTATCACTTCTTGGCTAGTTTCCTACATTTCTGTGTCCAACGCATTGTTTAATGATATTGATCTTCAATGTGCTATCCCTATACCCTATGGTTTGCAGGTATGGATTTATAGATTGACTCAGCGGGCCGTGAGCCGGACCTCCCGAGGCCGGGACGGTCGGAGAGTCCCATACGAGCCTCGGGGCCCGAGCCTATCGGTTGATCCCAACCCTTGTCTCCTGGCAGTTTCAACGCTAAATGGGGGCCATTTCATTTGAATGCGCGGACTTCTATTCATTCGGAAAAATTTAGCACATATCAAAGTGCTTTCTTACTTTCTTCACACGTTCCCCTTGGAGATCTAGGCTGTCAGTCTAATATTATTACAACCCCCAACCAAATCCCTAGCCCGATCATCGTCCTGGAATGCTAATAAATGGGTCCGTCACCGCAGTGGAGTTCTGACTTGCTTTAGATTGGGCCCCTGTGGCTCGTTAATTTCAACTGAGTTGAGACCATGCCCCAGTTTGAATAAGGGGGAAGATTTTAAAGGTCTGGGATTGCGTTGCACCTCACGATCATCGTGTTGTATGTATCCACCCGTTTTCGACGGATATGGAAGCTTTTGCATAAACTAGCGGGGCTTCATATCTTGCTTGTTTTCTTGCCTCTCTCTCAATTCCTATCTCGCTTCGTTCTTGACTGGTCCTTGTTCCCCCCCTTGTTGACATCAATTCATATAATTTGACAGATGACACACTATGGTGGTCGCCGAGCAGCAAACTGCCCAGGTCGGCGAGACCAGGCCGAGGAGCAGCACGGAGATAGACACGGTGCGCCTGGAGGCTGCTCTGGGTCACAAACAGGAACTGGCGCGAAATTTCGGCCTTTGGAGTGTGACAAGCTTGGGGATTGTGATCGCCAAGTCAGTGATTCGAACTTTTTCCGTTCGTGCCCTCAACTAACTTTTGAGAATGTATTAGTTCTTGGGCCGCAACCGGTGGCACAATTGTGACTGCACTTATGAACGGAGGCCCGATGGCTCTTCTATATGGCTTGATACTCGTGAGCGTCTTTTATACGTCGATCTCGGCCTCGCTGGCCGAATTGGCATCTTCTATGCCCTCCGCAGGCGGAGTATATTACTGGTCCACAGTACTGAGTGGGAAGTATGGCCGCGCTGCCGGATTCTTCACGGGTTATCTGAATGCGTGCGCCTGGCTCCTCTCGGCATCATCGATGAGTTCCATGCTAGGCAATGAAGCGGTGGCCATGTATTTGCTTCGGCATTCTGGGATCACCTGGCAGTCCTGGCAGGTGTTTATTGTGTTCCAAATTGTCAATTGGACTTGCTGTGCAATAGTATGTCTAGGGAACCGATTTATCCCCCTGATTAATCGAATCGCGCTGGTCCTATCAATGACCGGACTCTTTGCAACCGTGGTGGTCCTCGCAGCGATGCCAAAGGCACACGCGAGCTCTTCGCAGGTATGGACGCAATACTATAATATGACCGGCGGCTGGTCCGATGGAGTGTGTTTCATCACAGGGCTACTTAACGCCGCCTTCGCCGTGGGGGTTCCTGATTGTATCAGCCACTTATCTGAAGAGGGTATGTTAAATGTGTCGAGTGCCGCACATCTCATCCCAACTTTCAAACGAGGATAAACAGATTCTAACTACCAATGTTATTTTAGTTCCTAAGCCACAGATCAAAGTCCCCCAGGGTATCATGATACAAATGTTGACGGCCTTCACTACCTCCTTCGTTTATCTGATCGCCCTTTTCTATTCGATCCAGGACATCGATATGGTCTTCAACACCAACGTAGGCTACTTTCCTACTGCTGAAATCTACCGACAAGCTACAGGATCCACCACCGGTGCCATTGGACTCATCGCTGTGCTCTTCCTAGCTACATTCCCAACCCTGATCGGCACGTTCGTGACTGGCGGGCGGATGTGGTGGAGTTTAGCCCGGGATAACGCAACGCCTTTCTCGAACTATTTTGCGCAAGTTCATCCTACATTAGACACCCCCGTCCGTGCCACCGTCGCCATGAGTGCACTAGTCACCTGTATCGGCTGTATATACGTCGGCAGCACAACAGCCTTCCAGGCCCTCATCTCGTCCTTTATCGTGCTGAGCACTCTATCTTACTTGGGCGCTATCCTCCCCCATGTGTTGACTGGCCGTCGGAACATAGTTCCCGGGCCCTTCTATATGGGTAAGACCCTGGGAATGGTGGTGAATATCGTCTCGTTGGTGTATATCATAGTCACCGTGATATTTTTCTGCTTCCCATTCGTAATGCCTGCCACCGTTGAAAACATGAATTATACGAGCGTTATCACTGTCGGTTTGATGACATTGACTGCATTGTGGTGGTTCGGGTTCGTCCGCGGGAGGAGCGAATACCGAGGTCCACACTACAGCTTCGAGACCGCCAAGCAATTGACGTGTGTCCAAGCAAACAAGGAGAGCGGTAGTCCTGTAATTGCGCCCATGAAGCAGTCCACGGCAGCTGCCCTTGATGAGCATGGGCAGGTGAAATGAATGCTACTTCCTGTGATGCGTACGGGAAAAATAAAGAGTTCAGAGTTCTAACGTGATGCAAACAGATGCAGGTTAACAGACCTCTCTTCACCCCATTTGAGAATTTCAAGCCTTTGTTGCTTTGTCCCTCTACCTACTTGAAGCTATTTAGAGAGCTTCATGGAGAAATTGCGCTCAACCAGCCCCCAAGCCTATGGGGGTTGGGCTTTGGCCCCCCAAAAACCAATATTGTGTATAAGCATGGTCTTGACGTTCATAGACCTTATAGGCTTTAGATGGGCAGAGTCCACTCAATATGCACGATATAGCCAATGAGATACTACTAGTATGACGATCACCCGTTTAAATCTCAACTAAATCTACAATAACCGTCTGTTTATATCCTCTGTTTGCCGCGTCGACAGTTCTCACACTAAGAAGGTAGGTCATATCCAATTCTCCCTTAATCACCCTGATTCCCCTAAGCCCTTCCTACTGTAATACTTTGAATTCACTGTTAACTGAATATCACTAAATATGCCGCAAAGCCAGCAAATCGGGGTTGGTTCATCTCAGTCTAGTATATTCGACTCTGAGGCCGACGACTTGTTACTTGTTACCCCGTCTGCCTCTCAGCAGGCATTCAATAGCTTTGACTCATCATTTGCTCAGCCCTCTGTCCCTTCATACATCGCTCCGCATCCTATCGAACCCTTCCCTCTCGAACGCTTCCAACGTGTCGGTCCTGGTAAAAGAGGCCAGTACTTTCTTTACGACGTGATGAGTTATAGAGATTGGGTCAATTGGTGGTTACAGACTGACTATGGATCTAACAGCAAGATTAATTGGGACTCGCATGGTCGCGCGAAGATCTGGAAGGAATTCGAACAGGTAGCGCATACTGTTCATGATACTGCAAAGGTGATGTGCAAGAATTGCGGTGTAATTCTTGAGCACCCTTCAGCTACCAAGAACTCGAAGCACGGTCGTCATGGTACGACGACGATGATTCGATATGTGACTACTTCTGCCTGTAAAAGGGCCGTAAGTGGACGCCGGCAAAGGGATGGAGTAACAAGGTTTCTTCAAACATATGTTAAGGTGCATTATATTATAGCACTACTGACCAGTGATCTCGATTCTCTACCTAGGGTGATGCTAACAGTCAACCTTTCTCACAAGAGGCCTGGGATAATGAACTCCTACGATTCATTACTATCAACGGGCTCCGTTTAATCTCGTCGAGAATCCAACCTTCCATCGCGTCATTTCCAAAACCCAATCCGCTCCAAGCCCTCTGAGTCCAAACATACCATCCACTGATACAATCCAACGGCAGCTGTCTACTCGTGTCAAATAGCGACATCAGGATACACTCAGGATGCTACCAGAGCATACAAAGATCTCAGTTGCGTTGGACTTTTGGATATCTCCATTTGGGCAGGCGTTTATGACCATCACTGGCTATTTTATCGACTAGTAAGTGGAACCTTTCCCACTTGCTATGCTGAACTTAACAAAATTGATTCTACTTTATTCTATTTTCCAGTTATTAAACCTCTCCAACCCATAACCTGATACATACGACCATAGGGTGTGGAAAACAGGGCTTCCCGTCCGCTCAGCCGTACTTAAGCCACACGCCGGTGAGTTAGTAGTTGGGTGGGTGACCACCAGCGAATCCTCACTGTTGTATGTTTTTGTTCTTGTTTTTAGGATATTTTGTTTAATCTGTTAACTCTGGATGACCGTGCTAGAATTTTGGACGTATCTAGCAGGAAGATACCGCAATGAGCACGGCAGCTTTAGATCCATCGCGCCAGCCGCCATATAATTCAATCACTCTTTTTGCCGCCTTGTTCTTATTTGATTTATAAAATTAGCATAGGTGAAAAAAGAGGCTGAAAAAGACAGATAAACAAGTAACCTTTCTAGATATCAGCTTACTAACGTTTTCGTGAGAGCTTATAGTCATAATACCTAGCACCATCGCTCAGAATACGAATTCTAGTGAATGGTCCTTTGCTACCCCGTACCCCGGCCTCGCTCCACCATGTTTAATTAAAGACATGTGCGGGTAACGTCATTGAGTCCGGTGTGGCTACAAAAACTCAATGACTCGGTGTCCTGGTCTTAGGTCCACACTAAACCATCTTTGTGTAAGCTTTGCGACTCCGCCTCGTTCGATGGTTGTATTTTATTCGTTCAGGTTATTGTAGGACCAACAGGAACAGGATGTACACTAGTCGAAATACTAGCGAAGTAAGATAACCGAGCCGACTGTACGGGGTACTTGTGGGAGAGAAATCAAGATGACTCTTATGTGACCAATAATGTGACATGAATGATGCTCCAATCACCGGTATATCCCGCTAGCCTGAGATAGAGCCTGGATTGGAAATCATATAAAACTAGTCTCGTGCATATATTCAGACTTGGTTGTTCTGGTCGCGTCAATTCTCCTCCACTCCAGACCGACTCCAGGCTATTCATCTATTCGGTTCTACACCTTAGTTAAAAATGCGCCTTACTACTGGTATTGTCGTGCTGGCTACTGGTGCCATCGCTAGAGCTCAACTATCCAATATCCCCCAATGCTCTGTAAGCCCCATCCGCTCAATATTTCTGCTCAATGTCTCGTTTCTAGCTAACCCGTGCTTGTTTCTTCATTCTCTTCCAGCTTACTTGTTTCACTTCGACCCTTGGAGGAGACGGCTGCTCTGAGCTGACGGATTTCGCGTGTCATTGCCAAAAGCCTGGCCTCGCAGCAGAGATTGTGCCCTGCGTCAACAAAGCCTGTGATATCGCGGACCGACAAGGTATGAGAAGCCACATTCCATTTCGTATGACCCGGTCTAAACTGGGCCCTATAGCCGTATCCAGCCTCGTTGAATCCTTGTGTTCCGGTGTTGGCCATCCGGTCTCTATTCCCGCGATGGACACATCCGTTCCCACAACGACTTCCGCAGGAGTTATCCCAACTACACCGACGAGTTCCAATTCTACCACGGCCAGTGGTTTTGGGACAGGCTTCAAGACTTCGTCCACGATCGGCGCAGCTTTGGCTCAGAGCACCTCCCAGTTCAACGGTGCCTCTAGTATTGCGCCCGGAGCTGTTCAGATGGTTGGCAGTGCTATCCTGTTAGCCAGCATGATCTTCTTTGTTTGAAGAGTTGTGTGGAGAGACAACAGAATTGCTTTTTGACTGCTATCTACTATAATTAATTTTGCGCTGGTACCTTCTGTGTTTATTGTCTCTACTGAGCATTCTCAAGCTACACTCATTTTAATAGCTTTCCTATTCTACGATAGAATGTTCAAACATCGAATGGTGGGAGTTTGAGTTCCAACGGGCATTTCTTCACTAGATATATTCATAATCTCAAGTGGGACCGTCTCCAGGTTTCGGGTGACTATATAAAAAATACCAAACATGTGGGACTGTCATGGACATCAATACACCATCATACAAGCATCCCAGTATGCCAGCCTCCTACGACCGAGTGCGGGGGAAATTGGATGTAACGTTGGCAACAGCGAACTAGAAAAAATGGAAAAGAAAAAAAGAAAGGAAGGAAAAGGGAAATAAATCCTTTGTCCGTAGCCAATAGATTAGTGTCGTGAGTGGAGAAACCACTTCATTGCGATTCTGTCCCTGATAACAACTGATTTCCCCGAGAGGGTTAATCTAGCCAGATGCGACGAAATCAGGTCCTTCCAACGGATATCTAGTCGAAATAAGATCGAGCGGCCGGAGAGGCGTTCTGGCCATGAGTATTAAAAAACTCAATTGGCCCCTCCCCGCAAACCCTAATCAATTAGAGTTTCTGACATATGCTAAAAATCCATCGGATACGCGGGGGATACGCTTGAGGTCCGGGGGTTTGAGAACTTTGAGAACCTCGGTCGATGAATGTCTCAGAATTTGGTAGCAAAACATGTGAAAATATGAACAGATACTTAACTAGTCAATTCTTTTGAGGAAATTAATTATGCGGCAAAGTACGCTAGACAACGCCAACATAGCCACCACCGACCAAGATTCATGCAAGAGAAAGATAGGACATTGAAAGGGATGCTTGTTTTCGTTTTCTTCGTGTAATTTGTAATATTTACAGTACCATACAGATGTAAATTAAATTCTTTCCCGAACGTGCCCCCGTACTACACATCTTAGAAATGGTGTCTACCTTTAGGCCCATTGAGAACGAAACATGTAAGCATAAATGTTATACAGTATTAGAGAATTAAATCAAAATCCTGCGCACGTACTCAGCTCTGTTAAAAGGTCCCCCGCCGTGACGTCGATACCACCAGCGTCTGAATCCTCCCGGCCAAAAGCTAAGAACAGTGTATCATCAATGTATCCATGGTACTTTTGGCCATGGCTTTTCCAACCGATGCTGGTCATGTAGAGCATTTCGGAGGCATCTTCCAGTAATCCCGTGGACGAATCTTGATCTGACTTCTTTGCTCTAATGCTTCGACCAAAGATCCAGATTGGTTTTGACGAGACCGCATAGATCTCGAATGGCATCGAACGCCGCATCAGCACCACATAGGGCTCATATAAGGGGTGAAGACCTTGTAAGGTTTTTTGTTGGATGATAAAGAGCACAAATGTATTGGTTGCATCAGGTTGGCAAAATTGGTCAGATCGTGCACATAGAGTGATAGCTAGCGAGTTTGTCGCTTGATGAATCTTCCCCGTCTCAGGCAAGAATCTCTTGAGACATTCTTGGTCAGAACCAGATGTTGTCGGTGCCACGTTTGGTCCAACAGAGCCATCGAGCTCGAGTTTGGAAAATACACGTACCGGTGCAATTTCATGGTGTAGGAACATTTGTCCCGAATTATCCCAGAAGAGAAACCAATTCTTCTCGACGGCATTCCATGGGATTGGACGTTGCAGCTCACGGTACTGCCTGAATTCGTGCTCATTTATGGTGTCTAACCCCCAATCCACCAAGATTCGAAAGTCGGATATCCATTGTCCGAAACATGTAAAGAACGAATTGGAGCCGTAAATGGTGTACGGAATCTCGGGCCCGTAGAACACCCTTGCATCATGAGGCCCAACGTTGAGACTAAAGTACGAAAGGTCGCCGAGACACTTGCTGGAGTCACCAAAGGTCGCTGGGATGGGCAGTTGCAGTGGTGGCTCCAGACAGCTCAAGACTCGCTTGTCGTCCGAAAATGCGGCATTGCAGACGAGTTCAGCGAACCAGACCGAGGCAGTTGGAGCGGACTGAGGTTTATAAAGTTGCGCAGTGATGATCCACGTGTCAAGCAGCTCAGGATGGGGGATTATACTGGGATTTATGACGGATCTTTTTCCGAAGTCGATCTTAAAATACATTCGGTCGGGAGTCGATACCGAGTATATTATGTGGTGCGTCCGAGACATGTCTCTGTCGGATCCAGGATATCTTCGGACGTCGTCCGTAACTTGTCCATCCCAGCAGTGGGACAAAATTTCGCTGCCACGAACGCCTGAACAAGCTATGTCGGATTGTCCAGCATTGACGTGTGATTGACTATATGGACCACCTGAAGAAAATCCCTCAAACAGAAATTTCGATTGCAAGCCGAAATGGTTGGATTGAAATTTGGCGAAAAGGATCACCGCGGACAATAGTCCTGCAATAAGTATCAGGTGTGTGGCTATTTTTTTGGCCATGTTCAGTTTGGCGAGCGTAGACGGGACGTAACAGTAAGAGATTATAAGTCGTATTTAGAGGAAGCCTTGCCAAGAATGCTCGTTGACCCTAACTAAAAAGGGGGGGGGGGGGGGGGCTTTGACTGACACGGGCACTGAACTGAGGGGTGATTCAATCATCCACCACTCTTAACAATCTTTACCATGATTATCAAACATCTTAGTGACCCAGATATCTTTGCGAAACTATAGGAAAACTGCTTCTAACAAAGAATTTTGTAGACTGCAAATAGTACTACCGAATCAAAGGCGAATTTCGCGAATACCATTACAAGAATTTTACGATTCATTGGTATTCTAAGCTCCAGGTTCCGGGCTGGTCGTAACTTTTGTTTCCGGCTATAAGACTCTTATTATATAGCAATTTATGATGTAGAAGAACGCTTTGCATTAGATACTCAAAACAAACCAAGAAGATCATGGACACATGCGGAGGGCTGTCAAGGTTTGTCAATCAGCGCCCTTTGATAGATCCACTGAGAGAACTTCACCGCCGGCTCATCAACTAGTCTAGTTGTGACATCTGCCAGCCAGATAGTCAAGGGCAACAGAACCAGATTCGCGGCGAGAAAGTTAACTTCAAGCCCAAGAGGACCAACGTTAGGCAAGGGGAGGCGATTAATCCACCAGGGACAATTCTGATGGTGTGAATCGCGTACAAAACCCACTGCAGCATAGAGCCTGTCCCCCAAAGTCCACAGAACCGGTCCGTGGACCAGATAGAACGCAAACGAAATGCGGCCCAAGTACAAGTTGAATGGAGCGGTAAAGAATGTCTTGAGCCACTGAAGGTGAGATGTGCATACGACAAGAAAGACAGCGGCCCAAAATAGGTAGAACCACTTGTAATCGAACACTGCCTGAGGCTTTAGGAAGGATAAGAGGTACCACCCCGATGAGTCACGTAGTTGTTGCAAATTGTCCGTATGTGAGGGGACCCCTCCAAGATAAAGGCTTGCATAGAAGAGAACAGTCATGATGACTGTCTTGAAGGGAACCAGTCTGGTAAAGAAGCGGGGCAAGTCATTTCGTATGGCGAGGAGGTCGAGATCTTTTAGAAGCATGCCGGCAATGAACATAGCATAATGTGACCCATCTGCAATGTATAAAAAGTACACAACCAACGCGACTTCGCTTAGAAGCCGGGCATTGCGGCGAAATCTTGAAAAGGCGAGAACGGCGGTGTAGACAGCCAGAGAGCCTCGATGTTCGACGGGTATAGACCAAGCATGGAAATTGTATGTGAACCAGGGCTCGCCGCCTGTTCGGAGAGGGAAGCTGAAATTCTTGAACTCGGCATACCAATTCCATAACTCGGCACGGTAGCTTCCTTGAACCTCTGGGACAGCGGCGATCTTGAACAAGTGCAAAAATGTAATGTAACATAATGTTGTGCAAATGACAGGAATATATAGACGAAACCATCTGCGAAATACGGCCGAGGAAAGGGATTTACCTAATCCAACGTAATCTCCATCCTGGATCATCACTAGTGGCCTCATTGAAAGAACGTACCCAGAGAGCACAAAAAAGACGCTGACGGCAAAATGCCCCCCCGAGAAAAATGTTCGAATACCAGGAAGGCATGCAAAATAGTACTTGTTGTCGTAACCGTAGGCCAACTCGAAGGCATTTCCCACCCCTCCGCCATCGTGGGCCCAAATTTGATGATGTCCCCAGTAGACTAGTAGAGCTGCAAAACCTCGCAATCCATCTAAGTATGCGGTGGGCCTGCTAAGTAATCTTTGCTTTTCATTCGTATTGTTTTCGCTACTTGCCCGCGCAGTAAGCAATGTAGGCAGGAAGGGAACCATGCAAGAGAGTGACATCGCATGCCGAGAACGTGTCATATGGGCAGGCTGTGGTTTCCACTGTCCATTCTCGAGGACTCGCTCCGGGCTTGACTTCAACAACTGAGGTGAAGACTTCTCGATTGAGGGGTGTAGCATAGACATCGGGCGAGGATTGGAGTTGAGAGAGTCCTTTGGAAATTTGAACGAAAGATCAATAGATAACCCAATTTCACCTGCGAATTAATTACATATCTCTCAGTACAGCTCTGTGACACGTGAATTCAGTGGATACAGTTAGTCCTTAGCCAACCCCCGTGCCCAGTGCCGAGGCCCATAAAATCCTGCGGGTAGATTTTCCGCCCCCCACAAGTCAGAGTCTGGACACAGACCTCGGGGATATGACCCGATGTAACTCCGTGCAGCCACCATCTCACTCCTTGTCACAAGCTTTGGGGTCGTATGTGAGTACGAAAGTCTAAATGGCGTGAACTAAACCCATAACTGCACCAACCTGGCCTCTACTATTGGCCCCGCCCGAATGCAATCAGTTAAGCTTCAACCCTTGACCATTTCCGTACCAGTGACAGGTACCATTGCGTTAGCGAGTGTACCAAATGAATACCACATGTTAATTACGATGACATGTACTGTATGTAATCTACTTACCAGTGCCATGGGTGAAATAAGGTCCTGCCTTCCTATACTAACACTCTTCTTCCTTTTTCGACTTTGATGTTTGTCCAGACAGGAGGTCGTTGAATTAAATCAAATCACAGGTCCAAGTCATGCTGGAGAAGAATTTGACGTTGCCCGGTGTCTTTCCGAAGAAGGCACGTAGATTCACACATGGGGGCTTAGTTGCTTTGTGTCTGTTCATCTACTTTTGTGTCACCAGAACGTCGCACGACTTTGTCAAGAATCAATCGTACTCTACTCAGCTGACGAACAATATTGGCGGACAATTTCCCCGGAAAATCTGGCAGATCTGGAAAGTGAATCCATTGGAATTCGACGGGCGTGATATCGAAGTAGCGCGCAGCTGGATAACTAAAAACCCCGGCTATAGGTACGAGGTTCTGACCGACCAGAATGACCTCGACTATGTCGAAGCGAACTTCGGACCCCTTGGACTGAATCGACCAGATATCGTCAAAACATACCGATCTTTAACCGCTCCGATCATCAAGGCGGACCTACTTCGATATCTTGTTCTGTACATAGAGGGAGGTGTCTATGCTGATATAGACGTGGAGGCGTTGAGACCAGTTGAGCGATTCATCCCAAGCGGCCATGATGAGAGCGAGATCAACATGGTTATTGGTGTCGAAATCGATGAGCCACACTTCCGCGACCATCCTATACTAGGTCAAAAATCTCAATCCTTCTGTCAATGGACATTCATGTGCAAGCCTCGACAGCCTGTGATGATGCGACTAGTAGAGAATATCCTCGACTGGCTCAATCAGCTCTCCATCGAGCAAGGAAAGCCAATCTCAGAGCTTCAGCTGGACTTCGATGATGTGATCACAGGCACTGGGCCTTCTGCCTTTACAGGCGCAATACTATCTGAAATGAGCCGCACAACGGGCAAGGAAGTCACATGGAGTACGTTTCATGACATACCAGAGTCCAAAGTTGTCGGGGGGGTTCTGATTCTCACGGTTGAAGCATTCGCCGCTGGGCAAGGTCATTCAGACTCGGGCACCCATAATTCGCGCACGGCATTGGTCAAGCACCATTACCATGCATCTGCGTGGCCTGACCGTCACCCACGATTCTATCACCCGATCTTTGGACAGGTTGAGAGGTGCAATTGGAATGTGGACTGTGTGAGGAAGTGGGACGAAGAAACAAGTGCTTTTGCTGCTCTGCCTCAGGAAGAGCAGGAAAGGCAGATTACCACATTTCAGGCAATAGGGGAAGCACTAAAAAACATGCAACCATCCCCTAACTAGCGAATGTTTTGAATTTTTTTCAATTCCTTTTTCTGGCCATGTGTTTATGTGTGCTAGATGTACGCCCTCGCGGAACCCTACTGGAACCGAGGCACAAGCTCAGTCGCCCTGGCATCACTCAAATAGTTTGAACGGCTGCAAGCCTCGGCAGAGGCTTAGTGCAAATTAAAAACGAAAGTTGTGTGACCTAAAGAGACAGGGTCCGACCTTGGACAAATCGGGCCTCATTTTCCGGGTATTGATATGGCGTTACTGCGACAGGGTTGGATGGAGTGGAAGACTTCTCGGAGATGCACCAGAGCTCGGGTCGATTGAAATGGCAACTGAACCTTTTTTTTTCAATCAATGATATTTCACTTATGCTTGATTGATATTTGTCTGTACAAAATCTACTGTTGAGCCGCGTAGTCCGACCACTGTCCCACTCGCCTACAACCCTCGATCTCAAGTATTCTATAATTTATTCGTAGGAATAACCACGTACATACGACCATAGGGTGTGGAAAACAGGGCTTCCCGTCCGCTCAGCCGTACTTAAGCCACACGCCGGTGAGTTAGTAGTTGGGTGGGTGACCACCAGCGAATCCTCACTGTTGTATGTTTTTCTTTTTTGTTTTTGCTTCGTCCGGAAAGTCGCCTTGCTGCCCTACTCTTTAGCCCATTCATCCCATTCACCTGAATGCCCTGAACACCACTACTCTACACCTGAATATCCTGCACACCCCTGTCGTGTGTTTTATTTTGTTTTTTTCTTTTTGCTTTGTGGGCTTCCTCCTGCACAGGGATGATTTTTTACTTCTGGGCTTGGGTACCTTTTCGGTCAAGCGCACTAAAAATTCTATAATTCAAAACTCCTGCTTCCATAAGAAAAATGTGTCAACTGGACTAGTCCACGGGTCCATTACCCGGGCATCGATATAGTAATTATATTTGTGTCAGACAGGGCACCATAATGGTGTAATTATGAAGATTCTATGGTGTTGGCTCCCCATGCCACCATTGCTACCCTAGTGCCAGCCATTTGGGGTTTCAGGATTGTCATTATTATCATCTTGGTCTGGGTCGGGCCCTAAGTCGGCCAACCAATGGAGTACAGCCTCCACTTCAGATCCATCGTCTTGCTGCTCCCCTTCTCCTTGTGGTAGCGGCGCCAATCGCGCATCCAAAAGTCTAGCAATTCCCGGTAAAAGGGTGTTGTCCATGGCATCCCTTATTATTACACCAAGAGGTGTTTCATCAGTTTGGGTGGAAGTATCGACCGCAGTACCGACCGTAGTATCGGCGAGTGTTTGTGTTGCCGCATCCCTACTCAAGGGTTCACAGTACAACCTACGGTATTCATCTCGTTAGTTTGTGATAAAAAGTCTTCATTCCCATCGGATCAGTTGTACATGAGGAAAACCAAAAGAATGCACGCCGCGTAAAATATTCCTAGCCATCCGGTCCGTCCAATAATCGTGGCGGGACCAGGCTCCGAGATGAGTGGGCCGTCGTAGACGTGAAAAAGGAAAAAGGCAAAAAGCGTGCCTGTCAGGAGGCCAATGAGCCAGCACAGAATAAAACCGAAGAAGAGCATTGTGATAGTATGTGAAGGGGTCTTGTTGGTTGCGATTGGGAATTCTGCGATTCTAAGATCTGCGATTCTAAGAAGCTACTAGATATTATCCTCTACATCTAGGCAAGTGCTTTTGGACAGAAGGTGCGAATGTGAATCTCGTAGAGCTCCCGAGGTCGCTACCTTGGGCGATCATCTCAGACCAGTCAGCCCTCTAAAGGTGCGGCTATACATTTGTGAGCTGCTAAAATTCTTCGCAAGTGCTCAATCCGTGGATAAGTCCCGGGCGGATCCCGCCAAGTGATGAAGTATAATGACGATATTCCTTTAGATAATTATCTACTTAGACTTTTCGACTTGGTTGACCGCGTATATCTTTCAAATTTTCAAATTTTCAGTTTATCAATATATCAGCAAACTACATATGAGAAGATGGAAACTATTTACCTCATATTAGAGAAGGCGATCTTGTGGTCTGGTGATACTGAGTCTCTACAAGACTTTAGATCCTGGACGCTATCTAGGACCAACGAGGTTGATGGATATCCCGCAACAGAATTGATGTCAAGTCTCCTTGAGTATGATTCTAAGCTTCGATGCATAACTCAACGTGAGGAATGTCTCCTTGAACAGGTCCAAGTGTTGGCAGAAAAAGAAAATACGCCGCTGGAAAAGAAAAAACTACAGGAGTTCCAACGACGGTTAGGAGTTCTAAGAAAAAGTTATTGGAATCTCCAACATAACTGGTTGGTACTCAGGGACCAATTGAAAGGGCCTACTCTACGAGGGTTTATTGAGTGTCGATCAAACCTAGGATGGTATCTTAGTGATACACTCCGTCGACGTTGTGCAGAATGGGGGGGCTGCTGTAGCCGTGGATGCCAGTGCTGCGAAAACCGGAGCACACATACAAATTCCGAACGGAAATTAGGAGTTGGTCATTGTACCCTTGACTGTGGATGTTGCTCTAAAGCCCGAGGGTTTGATTTCACATCAAAGGAGAAAAAAGAGCTATATGCCAGGCACATTCGCCTGGGTCGCTGTCTTGACTGCCCTCTCTGTATTCGAATAGTATCTACATCATTCTGGGGGTTTGAATATGAAGAGATTTGCTTATTTAGGAAATGGAAATGGTGGCTGAGCAAGAGGGTTGCGTTTATGGGCTCTACAATGATGTTGCTTTACTACATTGGAATATATTTTACTTGAAATGTGAACTTGGAGAAATTGTCGAAGGAAAAAAAAAGGAAAAAAAAAGAAAAAAAGGTATAGCCTTTTCGCTTCATAATAGGAAAGTGTACCTTTTGCTACGTGGGCTAAATATCTATGTGAATAGTATTTAATTGGGTGAATATGCGTCTGGAATATCCCAAAAGGGCTGAATAGAGCGTCGAGCCGCCCACGCCCGAATCGTGAGCGCTAGGTGGCCACCACCTTAGACATGCTATTGTATGTTTTTTTTTCTTGTTTTTTTGGTATATTCAATCTACTTCTGATAGATATTCCCTTGAAACTCATAGAACCTACTTCCCTCCACTGCGGTCCGGGCCGTAGGCGTCAAACAAATTCTGCTTGGTCTGACAAGCGACCACTCCAGTCCAATAGTGGTGGTAAAGAGAGGTCTAATTTGGAAAGTTATAACGTTAACATTATTCTAACACGATTCGACGTCACGCGACTATTATAGCAGCAGTTCGCACAACTTGAAGTTTTGATGGGTTACAGAGAAATTGCTCGTTCGGGCCGCCTAGGCAAAACTACGAGCCTAATTATGACGACCAATTATAATATCAAGATTTCTCGAGGTAGCGAGTGCCCTGACTACGCAGCCGGCATGTTGAGTCTAGGTCGGTTATGGGGGAAAAAAGTTAAGGGCAAGCCAAGGCGATCAATGTCTATTAAGTCGCGTTGGAAGCTACAAAAAAAAAGGTTAACAGCAGAGCATCTGCTCTACATGATTATTTCGGATCGTACCATGCTAATAACAGAGAAATCTCGTGGCAATGTCTTTAAATAGGCTAGAGAACATGCCTCGGTCATAGATGGCATGGAGCACTAGGAAATCAAACGCCTGTATAATATGCAAAACTTATGTTGCAAGCTGCGTGAAAAAGAGTTTCACTGTGTTTGATTTGCATTCAAAAACTCCAGCAGTCTGTGTGCTACAGCAGATGGTTGCTCTTCGGGGAGAAAGTGTCCACAATCCTCAATCGCACCTCCGGAAACGTTGGTCGCGAAGTTCTGGACCAAGCGAATCATGTCCGAACCGACGGAGCTGGCGCCACCTAAAGCTAAGACAGGGATATCGAGCGGTGATTTCGCAAATTCTAGGTTCTGTTTGGTGCTTGTTTCAACAGCTCGATAATACTCGAACCCCCGACTCATTGCCCCCGGTCTTGAATAGGCCTGGATATAGCGTTCGAGTTGATCTTTGGGTAAACCATCCGGGTGAACCGTCTTCAAATTGAAGAACCAGGTCAGTAGCTCCCGCTCACGACCGCGGGTCAGGATTTCAGGCAATTCAGGAAGCGCGTTGAACGAGAATTGCCAAAGACGCATATTGGTCTGGCGAGACAACGGAAACTGAAGCTGAGGCATAAAACCTGGCACTCCCGCGTCTAGTATACTGAGCGATTTGATTCTCGATTGAAATTGGGCTGCCCAGGGATAAGAAATCCATCCCCCAACATCGTGGCCAACTAGATGGTATTTCTTTTCTTTCAAGGCATCGTGAATAGCTTCTGCCATGATTTTGCTCACGTTCGCAGTATCATAGCCATTGAGCGGAGGAAGCGAGTCACCTAAGCCCGGGGGATCGAGAGCGAAAAATTGATAATGTTTTGAAATGGGCTCAAATATATCGCTAAATGCCTCTGCTGTTTGTGGCCAGCCTGGAACAAGAATCAAAGGGGGACCCTGACCGCCAACTATAGCGCGGACTCCGTGGAGGAGACGCATGGATTGCCATTTTGGTGTCATGATCTTGGCATGGGTCGAGTGCGCGGATGAAGAGTGCGAAGGGTAGGCAATTTTAGGTATAGTAGTTTCATACGCATTATAGAAATTCGGTAGATTTATATCATGTTATAATGAGTCATGCACTAAATTATGAGTCAGGGCAACGTACACGTACCCACATGGATTATGGTAGTCTAAACTTATATTGGTGTTTCATTTTTGGACGGATACATATCATAATAGGGACTAGCGCTACGGTAGTCTCCAAGTGCCTAAGCGCAAATATATTAAAGAAGGGAACGCTCAAGGCTGTATGCTCTACGGCATACGGGTCGATTCAGCACTCGTAACTCAGCTTCATGTCCGACCTTGCGCACAAAGGAACCCAGGTACACTGCCCTAGAAGTAGATTCAGAGAGGTGTAGGAGTGTGTATTGTCAATCTGTATCTATCTGCTACTTGTAACCTCATAATCTCAATGCTTACATAACAACATATGGAAAAAGAGAAGAAGCAGGGGCATATGCGTAGTGGGGAGCCTATTTCCCCACTACAATATATATTATTTTCGTAGGCTGCTTCTTCAGAGAGACAGCTGTTAGCTTATCAGTACTACCATAGTATATATTGTCTCTTTCCAGATTCCACATTCATCCCAAGTATTCACTTAGATTATACCTGGGGGCCTTACATGAATATACTTCAAACCAAACCGCTAATTATATCATGGGTCTTTTTCGTTTAATAACCCGATCACCAGAATGAGGAATGAGTCGCAAAGCTACTTAGCAGCGTACTGTCTTAGTTGTTCCTATTTGTCACTTGTGCCGAAAAAAAAAAAGAAACTACAAACCGGTTTTTTAGAACACTTACCTAGGTAGGACCTTTTACTCAGGTGATAACAAATTTCCCCTAGATCAATCCCGTTTCGCTTCCCTGAGCTACGCGATTGATTCAAGGATATTTTGCCCTCATCAACTCAATCATAAAATCGGAAATGGCAGCGAGCACTGCTTATTACAAACATTATAACCTTGGAACATCTATTGATGAGGCACCTTGGCAACCCAGGAAAGTTGACACGAGGATCTTACACTTTCTTTGCCGTTCACTTTGCTAAAAACATTTGATATATTTTACTCTATCTAACGCTAAGCTGCTCTGGATTTGGGAGATCTCGTACATTCCAGTGCCCAGGCCGGCAAGGACGCTGTATCCGTAGATGTGACCAGCGCTTGTGTCAACACGAACAGTGTAGAAAAGGGTACCACCGGTGAGCACGGGAACGCCTCTAAGAGTGTACCACGGCATATATAGACTACATGCAGACATTGCGCCGCCATTGACATAGATCATGACAAAGCAAGCAATAATAAAGGCGGCAGCTGAACACCGGCGTCAACCTCACGATCGCCTCGGGTGAACTGGAAGAAGAGTGGAACGAAATAGAAGGGGATGAAACAAGCTGTATTGGCGGCCAATGTGCAGGCAAACAGCATGGGGATTGTTCAGGATTGGAAGAACTTGAGTGGCACAATCCGTCGGGTAACGGTGGTGCAGATAGTGAAGAGCCACTGGAGTTCAAGCAAAATGAAGGGAATGCCTGAGCAGACAAACAAGCTGATGATATTCCCACATCCCCAGGCTCAGGTCAAGCCACCCGAAGAGGTAACCATGATGCCAGGTAGGAAAGTACCAATATTGAGAATAACTCCCAATCATCGTTAATGCCTTGGAGCAAGTTCCTGCTGTTGTTGGAATTGATAGCAGCAATTATCCTATCGGAGACTTCTTTTCTCAGTCTGCCCAGATGCTTCCATCTTTTCACCCTGAATGGGAAGCGAAGCTCGGCTCCGATGATAGGGTCTGTGTTGAGTCTTATCCACACGATGTCAATGGGATCCATATGTCAGATGTTTCATTCTTTAGAGACGATAGTATTTCTGATGGTTGGTTTACGGAACTTATGTCTTCCACGTTTTAATCCTTATAAATGAGACCAGCGCTCTTTATCCAGGCCTTTTCTTCAACTTGTATTATAAACGACTCCAATTCCTTGAGTT